CTGGATGACATTTTTTACAGTGCAAGACAACAATCCATGACCACAAAGATCTATTTCAAAAATGTCTTATGTCTGTTATCATTTCAAATTCACAGTGTTTTCGCAAAAAATAGATAAATGTGATTAATAAATCTCAATGATAAACCTGACGATAACGTACTTGAGAAAATGTGAAATTGTGATAATTCTCTAACAAACTTCTTTGCAAACTTTATCATTACCATTCAACCCAAAACTGTCAGTGATTTTTGCTTTTTCACTCAAACTTAAAAGCAAATAAAAGCCTTATACCAGCGCCGTAGCTAGTATGAGGCCAACCGAGGCACTTGCCTCGGTAAAATTTTGACGAATTTCGCCGATCATTTTTATTTTACATAAGCGATCATCGGATATTTTTAACGCATCATGATATTACAAAGAATTCAGCAATTCAGTCAATATACTATGAAAAAATTACCATATCATCGATCTCAAGGGGCTACGTACGTTAACTCAAATTTTTTTTGAACAAATACTGATCAAAACCATTGGCGAGGTTAACGGTCACCCAGATTATGTAGCTTGTTTCTGATTATTGCTTTTTAAATTCCACTTAAATTAACTCGAAAAAAAGTTACCGAAAGGCCCAGAAAACGCTGCAAATCGCATTTCCGAGAGACTAAAGTTCAAAATTTCTCGGGGGGGCATGCCCCCGAACCCCCCTAGCAACTCCCCCCTGCCTCGGTTGGCCGTTTGGTCTGGCTACGGCACTGTATACAGATCACACTTATTGACATCACAATGTAAAAACACTATTATAACACAGACCGTTAGCTGTAATAACACTGAACAAACTTACAACAACATCCTCCTTTCTCATACATTTTGTTGCTTTTCTTCTGCATGAGTTAATTCAGACTAAATATTAGCCTCCACAGAGGAGGGGGGAGGGATGCGAGAGGTAAACTATATCTATGCAATCCCGTGTCCCACTGGGCCCCTGTAAGTTCCACGTAGTGGTTCTAGTTGTATTATCACAACAATTAATAATAAGAATTAAATTATTATTATTATTATTATTATTATTATTATTACAATTCTGATCACGCTCACGAATGCTATTGAACGTTGTGCACGGTCAAGTAAAAAAAAAAACTAACAAAAACATGACAAAGAAGTCTGTCGGGCTTCGTAACCATTCCACTTTAATAACTATGTTCAAATGTTTTTTTAAATGAATGTCAAGTACAAGGATCTGATCCAAGTACTGTTACCCTTCATTGCCCAGTGAGCAGATAGCGTGACAAGGCAAGGCATATGCTTGATCATTGTATTATCACAACAATTCTGATCACAATCCAGAAAGAGAAAAGGTTCAAAACAATGTCCAATACATCCAAATGCACTCAATTTAACATAATAGCGAGCTTAAGGGGAAGCACTAGATAACATCGACCTAAGCCAGATGAGTCATCGATATGTCAGTGGCGTCTTACAAAATGACTGAAATGATCACCTCGATTTCAGCAAGTTGTGCACCGTCAAGTCAAACAAAAAAAACTAACAAAAACATAACAAAGAAGTCTGTCGCGCTTCATAACCATTCCTTTCTAATAACTATGTGCGAGTGTTTTTTTCTAAAATGAATATCAAGAACAAGGATCTGATTCACGTACTGTTACCCTTCATTGCCCAGTGGGCAGATGGCGCATCAAGGCAAGGCATATGCTTGATCATTGTATTATCACAACAATTTGATCACGATCCAGAAACAGAAAAGGTTCAAAACAATGTTCAATACATCCAAATGCACTCAATTTAACATAATAGCGAGCCTTAAGCCCGCTATTATGTTAAATTGAATGCATTTGGATGTATTGGGTATTGTTTTGAACCTTTTCTTTTTCTGGATCCTAATTAGAATTGTTGTGATAATACATTAGGCTGATTTAGCAACAGAACGGGACACAGGGTCCAGAGGAGATGTGTTTGTCGTTAGAACATCAAAACCCGTTGAAAACTTCTGAAAAAATGGGTTATTTTGATCGCGTTACAGTTTCGTTACATTCTATAGACCGCAAACCAAGAGACTGAGGGCTAGGATATGGCTTGCGGTTATTGATTTTCAAAAGTCGATCTGGGTCAGATAAGAAGCGAAGAAATCGTTTACAGTAGATTTATAAAGATCCCATTGGGCTAATTAATCGTGCTAAGCGACAGGTATAGACATTTTTCAAGTAATTCATTTATTCACACGAAACTCTGTGAACGGGAACGTCATTTGACAACGGGAAAGCTCGCGAAAAGGACTAAACTCGACTTCCGGTGTCCAGTCTGCCGCTCAGCCATTGGTCAAGCCAGTTGTTTGATTTGCGCGCCCCGTCGTCAACTGACGTTCCCGTTCTGTCGCTGAATCGGCCTAATGATCAAGCATATGCCTTGCCTTGTCACGCTATCTACTCACTGGGCAATGAAGGGTAACAGTACGTGGATCAGATCTTTGTACTTGATATTCATTAAAAAACATTCTAAAAATAGTTATTAAAGTGGAATGGTTACGAAGCTCGACAGACAACTTTGTCATGTTTTTGTTAGCTTTTTTGGACTTGACCGTGCACAACGTTCAATAGTATTCCTATCATTTTGAACTTGCTGAAGTCGAGGCGATCATTTCAGTCATTTTGTAAGAAGCCAATGACATATCGATGACTCATCTGGTGTAGGTCGATGTTATCTAGTGCTTTCCCGGAAAGCACTAGATAACATCAACCTAAACCAGATGAGTCATCGATATGTCAGCGGCGTCTTACAAAATGACTTCCCTCAAGCGCTCTACATTTTGAGAAATTTGGAAAAGTTCGAAAATTCGATAAAAATACATTTTTTTATTCGCGAAATTACTGCAAATTTCAACAATTTTCAGGGAAACAGTACAAGCGCGCAAAAGCTTCTATTGACTTGATATTGCACATGCATTTATCAGTTACCTAAAGCTTTCACACTGCGTAAAAATGTATCGCAAAATAACTTTTGTAACAGTTTTGGGCGTTCATTGTTTGCACCTTGATGGTGTGCTGTTTTGGCGGTCGAAATAACGCCCAACTTTAAAGGCAATAAGTCGATTCTGGTATAAACGCTTGCGAAAAAAAAAAAGAAATTAAATATAACCCTTCGGGACCACGGTAAGCGACAAGAACGTGAAATGTAAACAAAGCAAAAACCGTGTAAACAAAGGAGAAAATCACACCAAAGTTATTTCCAGCCCACCAAAGCGCAAAGAAATGATGGAAATTTCGGTATCTAAATAGCTATTGCTATCTGAGTAGCCAAAAAGGCGAAATTTTCCGTCGAAAAATATAAGAGAAAAAAAAATCCTGAAAAACGAGCAACTGAGAATCGCGCGTGTCGGGTGACCCTTAATTCTAAACTCGGAAGTAAAAATGCTTCTGGCTGGTCAAGTCCAAAAGACTTCAAGAACTGTTTTTGAAATGCGCCAATAAACTATTGACAAACTATGCAAGATGCGATAGATTTACTTAAGTAAAAATGAACATATCAGGAAGTCGGAATCATCATGTGGCAAGGTACTATTCATTGATGGTCAATATAGCCCGCATAGCAGGCGCTTGGAAATAGTGGGCTAAACGAAGAACGGTGTGCGCGAGAGAGACACGCGTGTCTTTCCACACTTTCCAAATACTTTCGAGCGCCTGCTACGCAGGCTATGTTCAATACGGACTATTCAACAGAGACGATGTTGTCGACAACAATCGTCAGCAATCGATATCAATCGAGCTCCTGGCTGACCCGCCATGAATTTTTGCCGCACTTTTAGAGACACGGTGCTTAAAGAAATTGGGAAGATCTATGCTGAGAGGAAAAAAATTAGTTCTCTCTTTCCCCGCCCCTTACACTAGCGTCTTATTTTGCGTGCTGTTTTCGCGCGGCTTCTCGCGACTTCCCCAAAGGAAGAACTTGCTCGCAGGCTAGATCCATACAAGGTAAGTGCACAACCGCAATTTCTCCGGATGAAACTAGAGCGCTGGTAATTTAGTACCATTTTTGACAACATGGCCTTTTATTCATGAAACTGCGAACGTGAGTTTCAAATGTGGGTTCAAGGCAGTCTACAATTAGCTACCTATAATCAACCAGTGGGCCACTGAATCAATGAACATGGCTTTAACTCCCATAGACTGCGAACCTACAGGAAATCGAGGATTGTTGCAAAGCTGATAACATCCAGTGTTGTGTTGTACAAAGTATGCGTTTGCGTTACGTCTAGGTACTCGGCTTTGACTGAAAAAAAAACACATTCTGCATGATTGCTATCGCAGACTTGGTCTTGACTACTTGGCTTACGCACTATTTTTCAACTAGTTAAATAGACATAGTGTTCAATCAATGGACACCATTAAAACATTTTCGACTCGCCTTAACATGTTTTGGGTTATTAGACTTGTTATCCGAAGGGAACGTTTATCTTTATTTACCGAACCTACTCCAGGATTTGAGTACTGAAGTTCACTGCACCTGTTATCATCTTAATCTAAGGTCTAAATATCATTTGGCAGAGATTTAAGTGAAATTATGACACCAAGACTCCCCTGTCAGTGAAGAGATGTCAGTAACAATTTACAAAATACGCTTCAGGGGAGGTAAGAGCGTCGTCCTCAAAATGAAATTGTTCGTGTTTCAAACGAACTCAATCTAAACCCGCATTAACAGTGTATCCAAGATCTTAATTCGACATTTTTTTGGGGGGGGGAGGGGGTGGGGGTTAAGCCGTTATTAGAAAGCCTGGGTTTTCGATTTAGTTTGCCTCATATTTGAAGTTGGGCGCATTCATGGTAGTTGGATGTACAAGTAAATCACAAGTAGCAAGTTTATCTTAATTTTATATTGACTATTTTGCTTAATGTAAACATTACATCCACGTTCAACGTGAAAGAAAGGTGTCTATACATTTCCAAGTTGGAAATTAAAGCTTAGCTGTCAGTAGCGACTTCAATGATTTATAAAATGCTCGAAAACACAAGTGCAGCTACTATAATAGACGACAAGTTCAAAAAAGCACAACAAAACAAAAACATGACAACACAAAACTTACACCTGTTTATGCTTTTTCCCGTATTCTAGCAGAACATGTTCTTGCTATTAACCTCTCTGGCTACAAAGAGATGCCACAGCCGAAGTCTAAAATGTCAGTCGTCTCCACCCCCAAACCCTTGCAGAATCTCTTTCCCCCGCATCCCCCACGGGTTAGGGGAGTGGAGACTGCTGACATTTAAGTCTACGACAGCCAGAAATAAGTCTGCATTGACATGCTATTCATTTTTCGACTCCAGGCGCGGATCCACACCGGTTTCCACGGTTTTACGGAAATCGGTCCGATATTTCATTAAAAAAAATATTTTTTCTGGAAAATGGTTTGGATAATTTTTCTCCCTCTAATTTCCAGGCATTAGAAATAATAATAATATTCCGCCGATTTGTAAGGCTTCATCCGAGGAGAATGGAACTGGCCAATACACTGTCCAAACTTTATGACTCAGAAACCCAGGTATGGGGACTTTAGGGAGTTAAATCCAATAGTATTTCCTGGGAAAGCATGCCCCGGGACTCCGCCTTGTTTAGGAAATCGGTCCGTATTTATCCTAGATCCGCGCCTGAGCTCCTTTTTTTATCTTACGAACAACACGAAAAGTAACTTCAACAGTGCAATGATCGTTGCTGGAAATAAAAACGTTTCAAATTAAAATACTAAAAGACTTAGAAATAAACATGTTTTACAAGAGGTCACATAAATTATTAGCAACCTTCATGAGTATAAATATAAAGAATAAAACGGTCAAAAGATTGACATCTTTCAAATCTGAATCTTCTTCTGATGCCCCGCCTCACGTACAAAGATAAAACTTCTTTTGTAGAGCCGGCCATGATCAGTTATAGAGAACCAGCTCCGAGGGATATGTACACTATATTAAACTGTAACCACTCTGACAAGATGGTCAGTCATTTCGCATTAGAAAATTGAATGACTACTTCTTATTGGCATTAGAAATATTCACAGTCCATGCTTGACAGAACGACATAATTATCGCACTTTAACTCAACTTCAGTTCACGTTTCTTTGTAGTTTCGTTGCAAATTTCTTAAACTGCTAGTGACTAACTTGATCGGGTAGGCACGAGCTATTTGTCGCTACAGAGCCATCTAGGAAATAGGAAAGTCCCTCATTCACATGTGCAACACGTGATCACGACAAGGCCACGAGCATGACTAATGATCTTTTACGGGGGTGTAGGTAGATCATCCGAGCGAGACTGACCTATTGCATATTGGCGCAATATTTCCGGAGCGGCGATGTAAGCTGTTGGGATGTGAAGGACAATAATCTTGTCTTTATCCAACTCAAAATGTACAAAGTCCTCTCTGTTCAGAAGAGTGGGGTCTTGGTCCACACCAGAATTCTCTTCAGCCGTTTGTGTTGATGAAAAGAAAGAGTCCCGTGCACAAGAATCTGATTTCACAAAATCTTGTTTTCTGGGATCTGTGGATGAGGTTCTGTCTTCCGATAAAGAATCAACGTCACTATCGCAAACTGAGCTTCCTCTCTCGACGTCCTTCTTCACATCCTCTAAAGTTTTGAGTTTTGCACAAGAACGGCTGTCCGATTCATCCATTCCCTGACTGATTTCCTTTAAAGGTATAATGTTTTCATTTTGCCTGGGGTTTGCCCCAGAGCTTTTGACAGTAACTTCGTTCTGTTTAGGTAAAGGACTAGCTTTGAGACAGCTATCTGTAGTCACAGTTATTTCAGTTTTTGCAGCTGAGTTGTGAGAGTCACCATTTTTGCTAAAAGGCCTTGTAATGTCATCCAACACAGAGGCAAGATGTTTAAGGTTCAGAATTGGAATTCCGTTCACCTTGAAAAGCTGAAGATTTGCCATTGTTTCATAGCCTGTAGTCAATTCTGCAGCCAGGACCTGGGAAAAAAAATGACGGCATTGCTGAATCAACGCAACACTTGTAAATAACACTTTCAGCTGAGGAGCACCGTGATTTAGTGGATAGGGTTTATAAACCACTCTCGCACTAAAAGGGCCAAACCTTTACTTCCCCGAGATCTTATGCGTTTTAGTTCCAGGGCCCACGAAACCTCCAAGAAATTAAAGTTTTCGGTGTTCTGCTTGACCCCAATGGAATAAGCAGTCTCTCATCCACAGCGACCAGCTGGAATAAAACGTTTGAGCACTATACTAGACCTTACTTCACACTTGAAATACCAGTGTGAAACCAACCCATATTTCATCACCACTGGAGCTTTGTACCCTCCCCACTCACTGTTATGATCCGTCAGTGCCGGCTTTAAGAGGTCACTGATCCGGCAAGCTTTTTGGCCACTAACTCATATCAGTTTTGTAGCTATTCGGAGCCGCACTGCTCACGTACTACCCTCCTTCTGGGAAGAATTTCCGCTTTATTTTCCATAAGAAAGAGCTGTTAAGATGTCTGCACAGTCACAGTTAAACTCACCTGACTCAGTAAGATGACTTCCTGTCCTGCTTTATTTAAAACACCGTAAAGAACGCGGTCGCACAGTCTTATGGGCGCTTTTCGTGCCCAGTCCTTGCCGTACTGATGCTGCATGTAAGGCTGGGACAGAGACACAAATACCAAACCAGCATACACCAGGTAACTATGGTGATAACAATAGAACACAACAAAATGAAAAGCATCCTGCGGTTAATCGCTAGTGTATAAATTCTTTCTGTTATTCCTTATTTCTTATTGCGACATACCGCACACCCGGGGAACAAAGGACAGGTACAGCATTCCAACAAAATTTGAAATCTAGCTGTTTATCCTACTAGCAGAGTTGTGCCCCTCTCTCGGAGCAGACAACAATCCTCGCCCCTATGGAGGCCATTATTTTTTCTTTGAAGTTTTAAGCAACTCTCGTGTCAAAGTTCATCCGTTCTTAACTCTATTCCTTTACTTAGAGGGGTCGCGACGGGACTTTTGCAAAACCCAAATTGTAAATTTTGTCATTTTTAACACTGAAATAAATTCTTACAAAATAATTTTTACCTAGAAACAAAGGCTAACTGACATAAGACCAGACCCCAGTTGTTCAAAGGGTGGATAACACTATGATCCACTAGATTAATCTTTATCCCGGCTTATAATATCGCAGGTAACCGGTCAAGTCACCCGAAAGTCATCTCACCCGAAGTTATATCGCCCAAAACCAGAGCCATGTCGCCCGATGATGCTATGGTGAGACGAAACAAGCGGGATGAATGAGTATCATAACCCGTTCTTTATGCGATGAAGAGACGAAACAAGCGAGATGAACGTGTAACATATCTCCTTCTCAGAACAAGGTCTGCGAAAAAAATTTTTTCAGGCTTTTTTTTCGCAGCTGCAAAAGTTGAGTCTGTAACTGCGATGATCTTCGTTCATATAAATTCTTCACCCCGCAGTTCTCCTATATGATTTTCATATATTCATAACTTCGTATCTCGTTCTTTTAGCTTTGATGAAACAAGCACATCACATCAGTAATATGTCTTGTTCTTAAAGTTTTGATGAAACGAAACAAGCAGGTTTAAGGTGTAGGATGTTGCTGAGCATGATAAAATTTCTGGACTACGAGTAGTCCCCATTTTCCCTCAGGGATAGTAGAACGGGCGAAACGCGAGCGCACGTGAAAATTATCCCACGCAAGAAAGGCGAGACGGGGCGCCTTTCTCGCGTGGGGTTATTTTCACGCGCGCTCACATTTCGCTTGCTTTACTATCCCTGGGGAAAAATGGGGACTACTCGTAGTCTATAAAATTTCAGGCGACATAACTTCGCGGGCGAGATGACTTTAGGGCAACTTGACCGTAAACCATACTGCAATAGGGGTTCCTAATAATTTTCCGCTGGAAAGTGATTTGGATAGTGAACGTCTGAACAACAGAGGGCCAGGCTGATACCTGGGTGTGCCGTGTATTGCAGTCAGTCAGTACGTACCTTGGTCTCTTGTCATACAGCTGAGTAGGAACAAGTGATGTTACCAAGTCAAGTTTAACCTCCACTGTCATTACTTCACCCTGCCTCAGAATCTTCAGCTTACACATGTCACCAAGAAACATTTGCGACAATTTGTAATCAAACAGAATGCGCTCGTTTCCACGGAAATGAACCTGGAAGAGACACAATTTAGAAGAAATCCAGTTACACTTTCTTTGACAACTGCGGGTTTTTCTACCGGTGAGAAATATTTAACTAATACCCAAGTTATCGCTTCTTTGTTGATATGCTTGTTATTGCTTGTTCGCTTATTATGTTGAGTATAATATGAAGAATTATACAGATTATGGAGGCAGATAACCGTCTCCAAGATCTGCGCAACTCTTCACATCATTTACTACCCTTTTGACGATATAAAAACACTGTTACTTACTGGACGTCAGCACACGGTTATAGGACACAGTAAGAAAAACATATCTTTTATCTAGTTTCCAAGTAGTTAATTTTCCGTTATGCCGTTATGTAGCACTGAATTATAGCACCCCCTTTTTTCGCATTTTTGTGGCAGAGCTTATGAATTAGTGAGAAATAACCTAACTCTTAACTCGAACTCCTAACTCTCGAATTTAACTCGAAATGAATAGAGAGTAGTTCGGTTATTTCTCACTAATTTTCCGTGTTCGTTCTTTTTGGCTTGTATTAATAGAGCTACTAACAATTAACGCATTTATAATGAGTGTTTTTATCAACAAATCATACAACATTTGTCAAAACTTAATCAAAAAGCAATTAGGTGGCCCTCAAAAAATGCCTTCAAAATTATGTAATGTAAGCAAAAATTCAACTTAGGGACGGACCATTAGAAAACTTATGGGGGGGGCGGGCGAAGTACAAAAAAAAAATTCGCGCAAGGGAAAATTAAATGAAAAAAAATTCATGCACGCCAATTAACCCTAAAAAATATTCATGCAATGGCCTAAATAAAATTCCTGCAAAGAATCTGATAACGAAAAAAAATTCTTGCAGCTCGAAAATTCCCCTCCCCCCCCCCATAACTTTTCTAATGGTCCGTCCCTTAACTCAACTGTGTATATGCGTTAATAAATCAACTCATTTGTATTACTAACAATGAGTGTCTCATATTACACCACGAAGCTTTTCACGCGGATTATAATTCACGCAGTATGAAAATTGGTGCACCCAGCACTGTGCGAATTCTAGTACTGTGCAAATTTTAATACAAGTAAGGTAGGGTTTTTATTCATTTTCGTTGGTACTTTGCTAAGGATTTCTTTAACTTCAGGCTTTTCAGTTTCCCATCCCAACGTTACCACTTATGACTAGGACTCAGCTATAAGTTTTTCGTTCAAGTAGTTGTTTTGGTTTGGGCATAAAGTTTTCCCTTAATGAGTTGTATTTTCCACAACATCATCATTTTTTCCCATTGCTAACAACTTAATTATCTTTGTCTTCCACTGACTACATGAAATATCTTTACAGTGGAAAATTTATGTAATAATCAACAGCCTACAAGTAAACATTCCATTTAGGGGAAGCCATGAGTGAGTGGCACGGGAGAGGAGAGGCAAGAGCAAGGGAAGGGAAGGGGAGGGGAAAGGAGAGTGTTTCAAGCCTGAGTCCTTATCTCTGCCCCTTGTGGCTTTACCCTTGTTCGTATGTTCTTGTGCGGCTCTACTTCACTTGCCACGGAATGGAGAGCTTGCTCACAGGCTTTTTAATCAACAGTTGATAACACTCCCCCACAGCACCATTGTAGCAGCACAGTTTATATTGACACTCCCCTTTATAAGAAATAGAGGGTATTACATGGTCGCGCAGAGATGCGAAATTTCTCTTCCAGTGTTGAAGCGCGCACTCGTTGAATATATTTTCAACACGGCCATGTAATGTTCTATTTGTTATATATACCCCAATGAAATACCAAACCATTTCACTTTAATAGTTTTTTGCTGTGAAAGGTGCAATTAATTATGTAGCCATAGTAACGCTGATATTTCAAGTGTGAAGATAACATGTTATTTTCACATGTGTTTTCGTGGGAAAGCTTACCTGGTATTTCATTGGTGTTTATATAATTATTATACTACTACATGAGAAATTTCTGCAATTTGATTGGCTTAGAGCAGTGGTATTTCAGCATAATTTGAAATATCTGCACGTGAAAATTACAAAACCTTTGCGGGTAGTAGTATAAACAAATAATAGCATGATTTGTACACAATAAGTACGTGATATTTTTGGCATAAATACCACTTGTGATATTTCAAAATTGTCTCAAATTTCACTCGTCTAACGGCTCGTGAAATAACATGTATGTATAACAATTTCAAAATATCACTCATGATAATTTATGCCAAAATATCACTACAAACCATGCTATTACCTATACTAACATCTGATATTCTTACCGTTCCATTATCTGCAATCACTTCTTCATCAACAGCCATAAGCACATCTCCTCGCTTAACCACATTACTGCAGCTGAATAAAGGCAGCACCTTTGTGACCAAGACTCCTGTCTGATCACTGGATAACTGAAAGTAACTCCGCATGTGCTCACTTTCAATTGGCTGCCACTTGATCCCAAGGCGACAAAAACCATTGTATATGTGGCTCTTTTCAATATCATCCAAGAAATGTTTTATGATTGTTACCTGTTCATATTAAGTAAAAAGTTTAGAAATGTTTTACTCGTCATAAGCAGGTCACCAATTAACAACTTTGTCTCATGGCTTAAGATAAAATAAATTTCTCTTATATACCGGTATTATTACTTTTATCAGTAAAAATAGATTCATGTATGAAGTACAATGCAAAGATGGGTGTACTTGTCAACACTAGATTCATAAAAGCAGTAAATGATATTCAGTTCGTCATCCAGAAGAAAGTGTTTAGTAGAACATACAAGAAATTACCAGCCAGAACACCCTCTATTGGTGTGGATGTTGTTCAAATGAAAATTTAATGTTAACTTAGTTGTGTGTCAAGTTTTTTGACAGCCTGAAGCTGTTTTTTAAAATATCTTTCTTGCAAAATATAACGCTTTAAATAGCTCGAGTGGCAGAAAAACATGACACATGGCTAAGTAATCATTTTGTTTGCAGTATTAATAATTACTGACATATTAATTAATGTAAATTCAAATCTGGAGCAAATTGTAGCCGCCATAATTTTCATCTGTATTTTCTTCCATAAATTAAGTACGAAAGGTCAATGCTCAGATTACAATAACAACAAAGGCCACACAATTTGCAGCAAGTTAAAGGAAATCAATTTTAATGGTCACTGTTTTAGTTCCAGAATTTTTTGTTAGAACACATTTCATATGAAAAGAAGAACTTATTTACATTACAGAAAACGTCTGAGAAACTGACAAGGGAATTATAGAACGATTGGATAACAGCGTCGTAAATAAGACAGATTGCAGGCAAAAAAAGACATGTCAAACTCTTCTTACAGGAATGATATATCCTATGTTCTCAGCATTATCCAGGGTCTCAAATGCAATTCCAATTACTTTGTCATCTTGAAGAGCAGGACCGCCACTGTTTCCACTATTTATTGCTGCATCAATCTGAAGTCAAATATAACAAATATAAATCAAATAGATAGGCAGTTTAGAATCTACTCTCAATAGCTTTCATTTTCAGGTGAGGAGCACTATTCTAAGCAAGTTCAAAAAGAGTAAATAATAATAAGAAAAGAAGGCTTCAAGGGAGATGTATCCCTCAGCTGGAGTGATATGTCCTGACCCAACCCTTTTTTAAAAAGAAATTCAGGAGAGGTCATTATTTATAAGGAAGACTTTTGGTCACCAGTTAAAATCATGAAGTTCCTCAGTCTGTTGCCAAATTTAACTGAGAGAAAAGATGTTTTCTATACTCATCACCACTAGCCAAGGTTATCAGTTGATTAAAATGAAAAGCAAAGTACTTTGAACTAAGTTAGTTAGATCTAGAGTGTGAAAATTTCAAGAGGGCTGGGACCAAGTATATGTACTTTTCTCTAGGCTAAACAATTTCCTTCATGGCAATTTCTTGAGACAAAAAAGTTAGTTTCTTGTACTTTTCAAAGCAGCAAGTCAATAAAATAAAAATACAGACATAATAAATATGACAGCATCAAAATGGTTTAACTTGGAGACAAACCTGAATGGCTAAGAGTTCCACAGCAGAATGTGCATATCTTTGAATCTCTACTCTAGACACCACCCCTCTTGTGACACTGATGTTATCTCCACCAGTTGGAAAACCAACACAAACCACATCTTCTTCAAGAGCAGGGACTTTGCCAAACTCCAGTGGACAGAGATCTTCCCAGAAAGTCTCATCTGCTACACCCAACTATTATTACAAACAACCTTTACATTATGTACTTTCTGAGTCAGCACTCATTAACATCCGTTGAGAGGCCCTTGGACACCTTATGAAATTTACACAAGGTAGAACTGTTGTCTACTTTTATATCACACTTAGACGATATTTCAAGCTGGAAATGTTCATGAAAGTGCAAGTCTCTTCAATTTGAAAGGAAAAAAAATTGACATGAAGGGCAGTAGGATTCGAACCCACAACCCAGAAGACCCAGTAAGTACACCACACTAACCACTAAACCACTGAGGATTGTTTGATGGTAGGGAAATAATTTCAGTACATATAGTATCAACCCCAACCCAACAAATGAACCTGGATCGATGGATCAGTACATCAATGGATCGGTAGCCAGTTTCGAAGTAGTGCTTATAAATAACCCTAATCAAAGGCAGTGCTTAACCCTAATCTGACACAATAAGGAATAAGGGCCTTTCGACGGATGTTAAAAAGTGCTGACCTTTCTGGAACAGTGACAGTAACTTTCTGAAGTGACAGTAACTGTCAGTTGATTATTACATGTGACTTAAAGGATATTTTTAGCTTTGCATAACAAGCAATAGGATGACCAAAAAAGACAGAAAGAAAAAAAAAGAAACAAAATTGCCAGCAATCACACATGGTCCAGACATTAAGTTAACAGAGTTAAGTGTGTCAAGCAAAATTTTAAAACCCATTACAAACCTTTGACATCAAAAACCTCAATCAAGCAAGGCCTTTTTCATGAGAAATCCACATAAATACAAAAGGGCAAAAAAGAATTTACGACCCTAAGCCGGGACAAAAGACTGCATGTACCTGTACTGGAAAAGAGATTGGGATCCAGGGTACATAAGGAAAGTCTGTCTGGTTTAAATATAATAACAATAACTACTAATAACCAAAGGTTACAGAGTGCAGGCAACAACGATCAAATGCAAAACGCTTTTGTTCCAGAGCTGTGCTTTGTGTAAGTTTCACATGACAGATGGTCAAAACAAGCGTGATCACATTACGACTGATAGAAGGTCCAAATTGCATTCTGTGCATTTCATTGATTCTTAATGGAAGCCCAAACAAATGCTGGCTACATAAATACGATGCATGCGTAATTATAATAACCAGGGGCCGGTTGCTCGAAGACTGGTTAGCGCTAACTGTTGGTTAAGAGGCATCAAAATGTATAGGTGGTATTTAATGCTGGTTAGCACTAACCATGCTTCGAGCAACCCAGGCCAGGAGATTAGGATTGCAGGATCCTCTTGTTCCCCCAATAATAATAATAATAATAATAATAATAATAATAATAATAATAATAATAATAATAACAACAACAACAATACAAAATGTAATAACAGCAACTACAAGAAGAACAGCTTTGGTTACCATGGCAATGTCACATTCATGACCAACGTGGATGACATGTGCATTATACTTCTTGGCATCACCATGCTTGCGCACTCGCACCTGAAATTAGAAACATCCTATCCATAACGTACATCAAAATAATGATTATCACAACTATGGCAGAGCAAGAACTTTTTTAGTTCTCATGTTTTCATGTTATTTTCATTTTGTGTATTTATTTATAATGCTCCACAAAATGTTTCCACAAAACAAATGTGAGCGTGAAAAAAATTCTTGGCAAAATCTACTTAGTCCAAATGACTTGTAATATATTGTACATGAGACACACTATGATACTCAACACAAATTAGAACACTGGTGTGAATTATAGCAATCATCACTTAAAATGCCTTTGGTATAAAAAGGTAAAGGGACTCAAAAACACTTCAGTATAGTCACTTACAGACTTCTGGTATGCTACCACATGTCCATTTGTGAGTATTCTTCGACCAGAAATGACAAATCCAGATCCAAAGACCTGTTGTTGTCGCTTCATTTGCCATGGCATGCTATAGTTAGGTGTAGAAATCTGCACAAAAAGTTTCACCACTGATTGCAGAACCTAAAAGAATCAACCCTTCAATAATAAGGCCACATTTTTTGTGGTAAGTGTTAATTAAACAATACTTGAACTTCCAACCCAGAGGTACGTATTTCAGCCAGACTCACTCTGACCATTACCATTAGCGTACGATTTGAGTCATACAGTGTATGCTGTAAACAGATGGAGCCCTTCTCATACTGTTTTTAATATTATTGATTATTTTCTTGTTTTTTTTTTTAGTAGAGTGTCAGTGTAAACTTTCATACACAGAACAGCTGAGTCAGTACTTCTGTTGCAGTTAATTTTTTTATTTCAGGTAATTTTTGTTTTTCCTTTGTTTCAAAATCATTAGCATACATTACCATACCCAAAAACAATGGAAAAATAAAAATTAACTGCGATAAAAAATTAACTACAACACTTCCACTGTTAATAAAACATGTACATTTTTTTTACATTTATTTCGCAGGGGTTGTACCTAACAGTCTTTTGACTCATAATTATAGTAAACTAATGAACTTTGAGTTTCTGATGAAACTGCAATTTCAAAATGTCGCCTTTTGAAGGGAGAGGGAAACTAGATAACCCAAGAAAAACCCATGAGGTGGGGCCAGGAACCAACAGCAAATTCAAGAAAGAGGATCAACCATAAACACACCATAGTCATAGAGGTTTCCATCAGCATACTGGCCCAGTCATGGACTGACTTGCATTTTTATGCCTGGGGTTGAGGTATTTCCCAGGATTTTTCCACACTATGCAAGGGTGGGGTGGGGCGGGGAGGGGCGGCATGGGGATTCGATTGTGTCAAGTTTCCTTATGGTGATTCCGACTCGTATTTGCGATACAGGATTCTGACTATATTGATTAGAGTTGAGCACTGACTCAAAATGGTTAGGGTTCATGCTATATAATAAATAAATGAAATCAAACAAAATCTAGGCAGTGAATGCTCAGTGATGTAGTGGTTTAGGTAGTCAACTGCTTTCACTACACACCGGGTTTGAACCTTTTTTTGCCTTAGAAATTGCCACTGAATTTTTTTTTCTTAAAAATGAAGAAACTTTCACTTCCATGAACATTTGTTGAGCAGAATTTCAGGAGACTTAGAATTCCTGTATTAATAGCAAATACAAGCCAGTGTATGAGTCCAGTGCAAATAGCCACTGGCTTTATAAATAGCTGTAATTCATCTTAAATGCAGTCACTAGTTTAAATGAAAACCCTCTGCCCTAATTAATAAGATGCCTGGGTGGGTATTTTGCCAGTTAACCATGGGTTGGGGGTTAAAAATCTATTTTAACATCAACTCAGAGTTATCTCCATGTTGACCTGGGGTTTGAGGGGATAGGGCAGTTAATTTAATTTTTATAATCCAAAAGGTCTGGTTTATGACCAGATCATCCACAATGGTCAGGAGTTTCACTGTGTCCCAGCTCTCCTAGATTTTGTTTGTTTTGTGAGGGGGAGACTGAAGCAATGTAATCAGGGGATTGGTGGATTGGTATGACCTAATATCCCAGACAGTAAAGCTTTCTTTGCCAGTAGTACAGTGGAATCCCAATTTGTTGACTACTCAATTTTTAAAACTCCCAATTTTTTGAGCCGAAAGTCATTTCCCCTGGGTATGCTTTGGTCAGACACAATAATTTAACCCCCAATTTTTTTAAACTCCTGATATTTCAAACTAGTTCTGCCTCTTTTGAAAAAATTACATTTGATTTCTAAACTTTGAAAATTTAGGAACCAATAAAACTGGTTTTATCAACATGCACTAGCTCCTGTATAAGCATTCAACAATTTCAAGGGAAGGTGTTTTCATGCACTTCTTACTTCACTGATTATAAACCACGTGAAAAATATGCCATTAATGTCACAAAGACGCTACATTGTATGATGCCATTGCTACCCAATCAAGAATATTTCAGGCATCATTAAGAGTTCCGGGTTGGAAAGAAGCTGAACTAGTCTTTCACCCATTACTGGTATTTTAGCCGATTGAACTACTACTACTTTTTATACCTATGGTAGGCTTTAAGGAAGGAAATGACGCCTGGGCAATTAAACACAAAGCATATCACTGGGGTGTCACTAAGATTTCAAGTTGCCGGGTAAATACAACAAGCAGGTGGGGAATCAAACAGCTAGAGATTTCTTTTGGTTTCTATTTTTCTTCTATTTTTCGATGAAAGAAGCTGGGGGCCACATTCATAGTAGCCAGGGGAGACCCCGGCCCCCGCCTCTTGTATCATTAAGGTACCAGTTTTGTCTTGCTTAGTTGGCTTCAATCTTTCAATTTACAGCACATATTTGTTTTCCTTGTAAATAGAGCGTTTTCACTCACGTGGCCAGCATCTATGCTAATTTATTGGAACAAAAGAAAGCATTTACATGAGAAAAGAGTTCAACTCCCAAAGGATTTTCTTGGTACACCAACATGGCCGCCGTTTCATTGTTTTGGAACACCAAAATGGCCGCCATGACGTCATGTGAAAACGCTCTATAAAGATGATACAGTAGTGGATGCAGTAGCACCCATAATGAAAACTCCTGACCAACAAAAACTCCACAACGAAGACAGTAAGGGTGTGTTCCTTTCGGTGAATCCAAAAACGGATTTTAGATCTAAGAACGGATTTCGCGTTCCTTTCGGCAAATCCAAATCCGGATGTTTGATCTGGTGAATCCTTTTTGAAAAAGGATTCATTGGAATTGAAATCCGAAGAATCCAAATCCAGATTAATGGATTACTGATCTACGCTGTTCCATTCACAGTGGATCCGAAATTAGTCAGATGATCCAGCGGTATTTCCAGTTGAAGTATTCCTGTTGCTGCCATTTGCCGCAAAACATCTGAAAACACTAGAAGATTGTTCCTGGTACATTAAAATATCCATATACTAACCATTTGTCTCTAAAGATTGCTTGAAATCAGAAATAAGTAAAAGTAACAAATGAACTGCTATCTAACTACAAACTTGCTTGTAGACGCGACAGGCACTCGATAAATCCGAGCTATGGAACTGGATCAAACTGGCCGACATTCTTTAGATAATTTTCAATTTTAATGCGCTTCTTTCTTTGCCTGTTTTATATGTTCCATCGTCGCTATTCGAACTGCCGACCACTAAATTCTGCACGGTTTAATCACATAATTTGTCAAACAATAGAAAACACGTCTTTTCTTGAGAGGCTGTCGTGCATATTGCACGCGTTGGCGAAAGGTTACCAAGGTTACAAATCCAATTTAGGTTTTTCCTGTTCCTTTCAACCGCGAAATCTGGCAAATCTAGGATCAAAAATCCGTTTTTGGATTCGCTGAAAGGAACACACCCTAAATGACCTTAGGGACAACCAATGGGTGGGGTACTTGCCCTCCTATTTTTGTTCCCACTACAGGGTAGTTGACTTTTTAAGCATTCCTCCCCCAGGAATTTACCATCCAAAAAGAAGAAAAATGCTAACGCCTGGGGTTTACCCCGGAGAGGCATGGGCACATCTGGAATTGACTGATGCATAAACGTAAACAAGTTTTACAGTTATTAAGTATTTTCGCCAAACTCCTCGCGCTGCTTTCTTCGATTTTGAAATGATCTAGCTTAGCATACGGTAAGAAAACCTGCGCCGGTTGTAAACAGTTGTTTCTTTCAGATCAGTGATGTCACCATCATTTTTCTGACTCGATAAAATTTTAAATAATATGGCTACTAAAACTTTAAATACTAGGACAGCAATTATTGTATTTGGGGTGTTACGAAAACTAAGACCCTCGAAAACGAAGACCTAAGACCTAAGACCCGTCTTAGTTTTCGAGATTACGAAAACTAAGACCCCCTAAAATCGAATCCGTCGAAATATAAAGTCAAATTGTAACCGAAATAGGTCTGATCTGTCAAATTATATCATGTTTGATCCTTTCCACCGAGTTTTAGGTCAAATTTAACGGTAAATTTAGGGGTCTTAGTTTTCGTAATTACGAAAACTAAGACCCCTCTTAGTTTTCGTAATTACGAAAACTAAGACCCCCACCAAAACAATCTCTAACATTTCTACAAAGTCGAATTACGACCGTTTGAAGACTATAATCCATAAGACAAATAAAAATTACTATCACACGCGTGCTGATCTACAATGCGCTAACAATTTGAAGACTCGCTTAAAAAAGAGGACCAAAGTGATAGACTTCCTACAGATCTATTGTACACTGAAAATATGCCTTACCCCTGTTGGTCTTTAATTTTGTTGTTTATCCTTTAAATCATGAAATTGGCTTTCCACTGGAGATGGATGTTTTTCTTCGTGTCTCTGCGATCGAGATTGCGTTACCTGTAACTATCACCTTTTCGTAATTACGAAAACTAAGAGGGGTCTTAGTTTTCGTAATTACGAAAACTAAGACCCCTAAATTTACCGTTAAATTTGACCTAAAACTCGGTGGAAAGGATCAAACATGATATAATTTGACAGATCAGACCTATTTCGGTTACAATTTGACTTTATATTTCGACGGATTCGATTTTAGGGGGTCTTAGTTTTCGCAATCTCGAAAACTAAGACGGGTCTTAGATCTTAGGTCTTCGTTTTCGAGAGTCTTAGTTTTCGTAACACCCATTGTATTTGGGACAACCATAAATAATAATTAATAAACATGCACGTTAATTGTAAGTTACGAACAATAAAAGAACTAACGATAATTTTTTATAAATCTGAAAACAATGCTCGTTTAACGAGCTTGAGTGTTTTAAAGTAAGCTTAATACTTTAAGCCGGCCACTGAAATGAAAACATCAATGCAAAATGACCGGTCAACATGAAATTACATACCTTTTCACTGGTTTTCAGATGCGATCCGAAATGTTTGTCGCCCATGGTAACTTTAGAGTCTTATCGCCTTCAGTTTGACTGATAAAGGTAGTAAAATTCTGTAACAGGAAATTTAGAACTTCCAAGTCAGTGTGTGAACGACGTGGGAAGAAAATTTTAGAAAACACAGAGAGTTCCGCCATCGCAAGGAATTCTGGTATTTTCGACCCAGCCTCCTCGCAGCTCCACAGAGCGATCTCCAGCCTCTCAGCAGGGCCGGGAGAACGGAGTGCGGGAGAAGCTCCGTAGCCTCTGCACAGACGCCCCTTTCCCGATTTTTTGTTTAGCAGAGGGGGCGTCTGTACACAGGCCCAGGAGCTAGAAGCTTAAGCTTGTTTTTAGTCTGTTTTTCCATCTAATGCATGAGAACTAGAGATAAGTGAAGACAACAACAGCAAACAAGCCACCATATCAGGGTCGTAACATGGTATATCCGAGACCCATTGATCCCTATTTTCTTGCCGTTATTTTGATCCCTGAGCCCCATTTTCCCCAAAATTTTGATCCCTGAGCCCTGATAAAAGAATTGATCCCATCCATGTTTTTACACAAAATTTTATCTTAGGCAACTTTGTTTATCTCCAAATATAGAATATAGAACATGCTCAAATGGGCTGATAAGCCTAAAAACATTAACTTTAATTCTTACTGCAAGTTGTAGGTTCTATCAGAGCTTTCTATTCTGCTATCCCTGTTGATGTTGTAGACGTATGTGAATATCCTCTTTCACTCTGTGTGTGTTACATATAGTCGTCCACGTAATTTGCCTCACTTACTTTCTTGAGCTGCTTTGCTTACTTGAGATGCTTTTTTGTTTACTTGAGGTGCTTTGCTTACTTGAGGTGCTTTGCTTGCTTGAGGTGCTTTGTTTACTTGAGGTGCTTTGCTTACTAGCTCTTACTTGTCATGCTTTGCCTACTTGAGGTGCTTGAAATGTTTTACTTTAATACTTGATGTGCTTTTCTTGCTTGAGATGCTTTACATACTTGAGGTGCTTTGCTTGCTTGAGATTCTTTGCTTACTTGAGGTGCTTTGTTTACTTGAGATGCTTTGCTTACTTGAGATGCTTTGCTTACTTGCGGTGCTTTGTTTACTTGAGGTGCTTTGTTTACTTGAGATGCTTTGCTTACTTGAGGTGCTTTGCTTACTTGAGAAGCTTTGCTTACTTGCGGTGCTTTGCTTACTTGAGGTGCTTTGCTTGCTTGAGATTCTTTGCTTACTTGCGGTGCTTTGCTTACTTGAGGTGCTTTTTTGTTTACTTGAGGTGCTTTGCTTACTTGAGATTCTTTGTTTACTTGCGGTGCTTTGCTTACTTGAGGTGCTTTGCTTACTTGAGATTCTTTGCTTACTTGAGGTGCTTTGTTTACTTGAGATGCTTTGCTTACTTGAGATGCTTTGCTTACTTGCGGTGCTTTGTTTACTTGAGGTGCTTTGCTTACTTGAGATGCTTTGCTTACTTGAGGTGCTTTGCTTACTTGAGATTCTTTGCTTACTTGCGGTGCTTTGTTTACTTGCGGTGCTTTGCTTACTTGAGGTGCTTTGCTTACTTGAGGTGCTTTGCTTACTTGAGATGCTTTGCTTACTTGAGGTGCTTTGCTTACTTGAGATGCTTTGCTTACTTGAGATGCTTTGCTTACTTGAGGTGCTTTGCTTACTTGAGATGCTTTGCTTACTTGCGGTGCTTTGCTTACTTGAGATGCTTTGCTTACTTGAGATGCTTTGCTTACTTGAGGTGCTTTGCTTACTTGAGATGCTTTGCTTACTTGCGGTGCTTTGCTTACTTGAGGTGCTTTTTTGTTTACTTGAGGTGCTTTGCTTACTTGAGGTGCTTTGCTTGCTTGAGGTGCTTTGCTTGAGGGTCGTGAAGGGGGGTACCAAATCCCAGTTCCCAGCCTAAATTTGGCCCAAATCCCAGTTCCCAGGCTAATTTTTGCCAGAATCCCAGTTACCAGTTTACAGTTTAAATCCAACAAAACTTTAGAGTTTTCGGTGTGTATAACGGCGTTATTTGCATTGACGTACTTGATTTCTAGTACCATTTTGCGAGAAACCTTTTCCAAAGCCATTTTTATCTTCCCTTCACAATATCTTCCCGCCATATGCAAACTTGCAGAACTTGTCCGCTGACCAGGAAAACTGACAGAACGTAACTATGCAACTGTGTAAGCCTGGTAGCTAGACCGCGGGCGCGAAGGCGAAAAATACTGATTTCATGGTCTCTACTGAGGAGTGCAAGGTCTATTGCTACGAAATTTTATTTTTCTATTTCAAACTATTGGAGCAAAGACCACTGAAGAAAAGAAATCCCATTCCCATTTTATAATTGTTCATCCCATTCCCAGTGGCTAAATCCCAGTCCCAGTGAGTAAATCCCATTTTCCCAATCCAAAATAAGGCTAGTCCCAGTTGCCATTTTACCCCTTCACAACCCTCTTGCTTATTACTTGCGGTGCTTTGCTTACTTGAGGTGCTTTGCTTACTTGAGGTGCTTTGCTTACTTGAGGTGCTTTGCTTGCTTGAGATTCTTTGCTTACTTGAGGTGCTTTGCTTACTTGAGATGCTTTGCTTACTTGAGATGTTTTGCTTACTTGAGGTGCTTTGCTTACTTGAGGTGCTTTGCTTGCTTGAGATGCTTTGCTTACTTGAGATGCTTTGCTTACTTGAGGTGCTTTGCTTACTTGAGGTGCTTTTCTTACTTGAGATGCTTTGCTTACTTGAGATGCTTTGCTTACTTGAGGTGCTTGACGTGTTTTGGTTAATTGAGGTTGGTAACTGTTTAGCAGCACAAGAACTTATCGAGTTTATGTTCTGAAATCTACAGCTGAATCTACTTGTTAAACCACCACTTCGAATGGTTACTGTAGCCCTCATAATCATCATCATCATCACGATCCGTTCATCGTCATCGTCACCCTATTTACTCTCCTTGTGGGTTGCTAGTCATCTCATTTTCTTCTCCCTCTCACCCCATATAAGATAATCCAAGACAGTCGTGGATTCTGGACTCCAGGTGCTGGATTTCGGATTTTTAGTCAGTGGATCTTGGTTTCAAGATTCCTAGTGCGCATGCCGGATTTCCAATCAGGCTGATTCCGTATTTATACCTTACATGGGGCGATCCCATAGTTCCTTTCTCTCCCCAATCAGTGGGCTATAATTAGTGTGCCTGGCAAAGTGATTTGTCATGGCGGGACAGTAACCGTCTTTGGTTTAATCTGAAGGCGACGGAAAACATGTTTATTTCTTCTCTTTGGTGTTAGTTTCGAACTTAGCCGCTTCTTGACTGAAAATTCACGGGGTTGTCGACAGGAAGTCGCTAGCTTGTCAATTTAACCCTAGGACCCAGTTTTTTAAAGGCTGATTATCACTAAATAGTCTAGTCTAGTTCCAGACTAGTCTGCCTCAGTTACACCATCAGGGACGAAAATCGATCAGCATAAACTAGAGCCCAGTCTGCATAGGACACCAAACCTAAGGGAGGGGACCTGGAGAAACACTGTGGGATGAAATAGGACTGAGGGTGAAGTTGTAGTTTCTAGTGGCCGAAAAGCCCGCCGCTTTACGGACGCCCGCTCAATACGGGCACCTCGTTAAAATATCTGATGGAGATGAAGTAATCGAAATTTGTCTTTGGAACATTTTGTTAACTTTCTGTATCCAAAATTATGTACTTACTGTGTTTACATGGTGCAGTAAGCAAACCTTGTCTACTAATACTTATAGCGAATGTTGCGAACGTTGCTCGTTTTGTCTCGTTAACATTTTGCTCGTCGGGGTACTCCTTGGAATTCTTGGTGGGGGTGTGCCACCCGGTTCTTCAAATCCTGACCCTCTTTCAGACCAAAAAGTGTCATTTTTTACACCCGTTTTCAGACCTGGCCTCAAAGAGCTAACTAGAACTTATGTCATCATTCATAGATCAGAACACTGAGCAAAGAGATTTCTCAAAATCCAATTCGAATTCGCGTATTTCTCTTTCTTTCTTATTCACTTGGAATTGAAACGATAGATAGATATACGTTCATACACTCCTGTAGTTTTCCCGATTGCAGACCAAAATGGGGAAAGTCTCTACCCGTTTTCAGACCAAAAAGGTGCAAAAACCCCAAATGATCCCCAAAATGGACAGCAAACAGGACACAGCAAATGATCCTCGACCGCAAATGATCCCGACAACCTGGACTCAAGTTGCTGGATCATCGTGTTTTAAAACAAATAAATGCCAAGACTGACAAACAAAAATACAAACAAACGAAGAAACCGTAAAATTACATTTAAAACTTTGTTAAATAAATAGAACACAAATAAATGCAAACAGGAAAAAAAATTAAATATTATCAGTAAAACAATAGCTCTTGAACAGCAATGCAGCCATTGCTGGTTCGGCATGAAAGCTAAACTGAACTAACTGCTTCACATACTGTAGTTCCATCAGATACAATATTCTTAGGAAGAAATTCCTCAATCTTATTTATCGGATACCGTAAAATTCCGAAACTAAGCCCCTCCATGTATAAGCCCCTCCAAATATAAGCCCCTCAAAATCGTAACCCAAAAAACCCTCCGTTCAATCGCCCCTCCGAATATAAGCCCCCCAGGGAGCTTGTACATGGAATTTGCTCTCAAATGCAAAGTAAAACAAAGCAAAAATGGTAAATTTCCTTCCCACTACAAGCTAGCCCAATCGATTTTGAAACACAAATTTCCCTCCGTACTTAAGCCCCTCCAAAAATAAGCCCCTCAAAAAAGGGCCTTTGAAAAATATAAGCCCAGGGGCTTATTTTCGGAATTTTACGGTACCTCGTATCAACTTGAGAAAATGTAACTTTGTAACAGTCTCTGAAAACGACACCAAATAAAACTTCGCTCTCGTACAACCCCATTAGGAGAATTCTTTGCTTATAGGTACAAAATTTCCACATAATCGTTCCTTCGTTTCTCAGCTCTTTCCCGGATTTTGTATCTTTGTAACTGTCTCTGTCTCCAGCAGCAAAGGAGCTAGAAATGAATTCACAGGTTTGCGCCGACAGGCTCCTTTATATTACTAGACGCGACATTTTCACGAGCTGTAGTTGCTAAGTTTATTTCGAAGTAAACCGGAAACCTCTACAGAGTGATAAATACAGTGGTCATATTTCCCTATTCCTAAGCGTTAAAATGAAAGACAAGTTTCCTTCTTAACGTCCTCCTTGTCCTAAATTTTCACAGCATCGAAACATCAAATACTTGAAAGAAGGAGAAAAAAATTGCCAAAACAAACAGTCCAGTTATTTATAGATTTATTCATTTCATTGTTCTATGCGTCGTTCAAGTTCTCGGCACATTCACCATCCATGCCTAAAATTCCCCCATTCCTCTAACTTTCACGTGATCACTTGCGGTCGACAAAGGGATCATTTGCGGTCCATTTTAGGGATCGTTCAGGGTTGGATTTGCGGTACTGTACAGTACCCCCCGGGACATTTTGATTCAAATTTGATTACCATTATAGGCTACAGCATGAACTTGGCACAATAAACATGTTTTACTCCCCCCCAACAAATTTGTCACGTTACACCCCTACCTGCCATAACGGCCACCTCTCAACAACGGACACTTTCTTCTGTCCCCAAGGTGGCCATTGTGGAGAGGTTCGACTGTACTTATGAACTTAGTCTCACAAGACAGAACATGTGCATGAGTGAAAGTGAAGAAGGGAAGGGAAGAAGAGAATTCTACATCTCTCACACTTGGGACGACGAGACAAGACAACTGATAACTGACTTGGTGAAAATACTTGCACTCTTCAAATTTTGTGTGGTTTGTGAACTTTTCAGTTGTTTGGACGCTTCAAGATGGCTATCATATGCGCTAGTGTATCTCCTTTCTTGCATCAGAGAGAGGATGTACATGTGCGTATCATCTTTTCTGGTAAAAATTTAGACGCATACCGTTTACGGTGTTACGAGACTAGAACAGCTGTATGTAAGACTCTTCTGAGTTAAGGGTCTTTTAGGACCATCTGGGTCGCTTGGTCAAGATGATTTAAAACACTTTTCTTTTCCAGATTTTCCCCATACTCCATACAACTTGACACCTAAGCTGTACTAATTTCTCCACAAGATATAGAAGCGGTAATCATTCACAAAACAGATAAACGTCAATACCTTTAATTTTTTATTACTAAACTTAAAATATTAACAGAGTACAAATTTCTTTATGAAAGATACTTAGTTGACTTCTCAGTCAAATGTCGTTTATATGTTTAAAAAGCGCATTAAAAATAAATTACATCTATATGAAACGTTTCTAGGAAAACGCAGGGACAGACTGCAGTAAACGAATCGGACTGAAAATTATGGAGTTCAAAAGTCACTAAAGACAACATTTATTTGCGTTTAGTCTCCCACGAAAGGCGTTCCTAAAATTTGATAAGGAGGACTGTTGCGTGGCAAGCCAAAAGAACGCATGGGTGGGAGGCTACATCCAATTTGCCAATCTGCGATCAGGCGTTCTTTTTTCGGTGATATAAAAGGGAAGGAACACGTGTTCGCAGGTTATCCGTGTGCCTTAGATTCTTTAAAGCGCACACCATACGTACGCATAAAACTTTGTACCTACAAATTTCTAATTTGTATTTTGATAAATAACATGGTAAAACGTTTCTCAGTCCAGTCCTTGCTCCGGCTGTACACGTCGTGATAATTTTAAATATGATTTTAACGATCGAGAAATATTAAAATTCACTCAAAAGACGAGTACAAAAATCTAAAAATATATTTTCTTTTATAATCGTGAACCTTTCAAAATTTTTTAACGCCTGAAAAGGCTCTTCTTTTTCAAACTGAAATAAACGGTCTAATCCTTTGCTTTAAAATTTGATGATTTTGTTTGTTGCATGTAAGCCATAAAGAAGATAACTACTTTCTAAAATTCTGAAGTTCTCAAAGCTACTTTGTACGTCATAGGATGATTTCTCAGACTGTTAAAGCCTCCAGTCGGTAAACTCTTAATGCTGATTAAAACTTATAAGAAACCTCTTCCTTAGGGCTGATTTCCACTGTCGCGTAATTATTCCGTGCGAGCGCACGTAAAGTTTAGGCGCGTAAATGAAATAAAGGCAATGTATGAAAGGCCACGTGTAAACGTGAAAGTTGAGTGACGTTCACCTTTTACGTTTACCCGAGAACCTCAATACATTGTCTCTATTTTCTTTACGCTCGTAAATTTTACGTGCGCACACACGTAAAAATTACAAGGCAGTGAAAATACACCTTTACTAGTGACAACGTGCAGAGTTAGTTACAAGCGTTTCAGATGATCTTGGTCAGGTTTGGAAAGACCAACTTTTCCTTGAGCTGCGATTAATTGACTGCATCTGATTTTCATTGGTTAATTGACCGGTTATTAAAACGGGTACTGGACGGAATTTTATGGCAGCTAGACAGCGGAAAGATCATGATAAAATTCAACTTTAAATCCTTCAGAACACTACCTTGTAACACTTGATCTGCAAGTCACGAGAATACCGAAAATCACGACGGACATGCGATTTTGGGTCTTGGAGGTGTTTTGTCTGCTCGAGTAAGGAATGGTACTATTAAGGATTATGCTGTGTCAGAGTTCAGACTCCATCTTTAGTTCTTCAAGTTCATCCATCATCTCCTTTATCTCTCGTTGCAACGCCTTGTGAAATTCAGGATCAGGTGCCCCACACGCAAACCTTCCTTCGTCTTCGTCATCCTCATCTTCAGAACAGTTCTCTGAGTGAAGATAAGAGTTTTCAGGTGAATCATCGCAGGCCTCCATCCGATTACCGAGGTATACCTGCTCGAGATCGTCCTCAGAGTACATCCCGTCCGTTATGCTGCCAAGTTCAGACCCACGCGTGGTCAGAGTAGGAGCGTACGACCCTACCCCTACAGGATGTTGGTCCAGACTTTCGGGATACGGCTCCCTCGGGGGTCGGGGAAATCGGCCTTTGAAGATATCAGGATCAAGGTCGGTGGCGTCAGAGAACTCAGAGTAACGGGAGTCCATGGAGTACCTAGATGCTGATTTACCCTTGGGATTGATGTATTCCATGGGCTTTTTTGGAATATGGGGAACAGGGTCCGGGTAGCCATCTTCTGATTCAGATACCTTGTAATTCCGTGGCCTTTTCGGGACTTCAGGCACATCAAGAGAACCCTGTGAAGATCTAAAACTGGATGGCCTTTGCGGGACTTCCGGCGCTATAGGTACGCATTCTGCCCCTCCGTAGCTTCCAGAACGTTCCTTGGACAAAGGACTTCCAGGGACCAAGTCAGCAGGAATGTCGGTGTAGTCCCAGTGGTAGCCAGGCAAGTTATTATCTGAAAGCGAGGTCAGTGTTTTCATAGTACCGAATTCCTTCCGCGTCCTTTCGCGTCTGCGCCATGAATCCTCGGCATCATAGCCTGGAGGCATTCCTAAATCGTCCACGTTATACCCATGGATTTCTCTCGGAGGAGGCGTAGGAGGTTCAGGTGACGTCACTTCTGATCCCACTACCGGTGGTGACACTTTTAAAACCGTAGTTTTGGCAGCTCCAGATTGAAGAGAGTGATCGCGTTTTCTCCTAGCTCGCCATCGGAAGATAAATACTACGAGGACAACAATTAGTAGCAAGACAGCAAGGAAAACTGCGATGCCGATGATTTCTGTTTGTCCCAACGGCCATCCGCGACGGGCTTCAACGCTGGCCAGGACTTGTTCGCAAAGCTTTCCCCCGTGGGTGCTGGTGGAGCAGTTACAGGTGAAACTCCCAAGAGTGTTCACACAGATACCGCTGTTTTGGCAAGGTGAACTAGCACACTCATCCACGTCTTGGGAACAATCTGGGCCCGTGTACCCAGGAACACAGGCACAAACGTTTCTTCCGCCATCCAGCACTTGGCAGGTGCCACTGTTCTTACATGGCTGGCGACTACAGCGGTAACCTTTCTCACAGTTCTTTCCAGACAGTCCAGGGGCACAGTCACACTGGTAATCGTTGCCCATATTCGTACAATTGGTATTAAACGCGCATGGATTAGACGCACAGGGCCTGGTGTCTTGATCACACGTTAATCCCCTGACTCCCTTTGGGCATGAGCAAGTGAAGTCGTTTTTCCCGCTAGGAAAGCATGTGCCACCGTTCTTGCAAGGACTGCTTACGCACTGACCAATGAAAATATGGCACTGCGTCCCTGTGTACCCCTCTTTGCATGCACAACGGTAGCCACGTTCTTGGCCATTAAAGCAAGTGCCGTCATTTTTGCAAGGATTGGCTTCACATCCGACAAAAGGCTGGCAGTCTTGGCCCGAGTGACCTGGAAGACACTCACACTTCTTTGACGTCATTGTCTCAACACATGTGCTGTCGCGAGGGCAAGTGTTAACACGGCAGGCGCCTGACAATCGACAACCAGGCGCTGCCTTGAATGGTTGGGCAGTCACATGACTGGTCGATCCAGACATAGGTAAGTCTTCGCCATTCAGATTTATGTTCTGTAGACAGCCTTTAAATCCATTCTCGACTTGCTGACCTGGAATGAAAGAAACACATAAAGAAGTTAATGTACAATGCTTACTTCTCCAATTGTTTGCGACACTGCAATTACTTAAGTTAAAATGCTTTTCGTTTCCCCAAATTTCCACTGCAGACGTTGTAGGGAAACGAGAAGCAGAGTTAGTGTCTATACAAGGAGTTAGGCTCGATCAGATAACATTCCCTGTCTCAATCAATTTCAAACTTGAACAACTTAGGCGTTCTTTCCGCGTGACTCGCCTGAGAATTTCGACTTTGGAATGGCTTTGATTCATACGTCGATTTTTCAGGAGCCGAAAATAATGCGTTATTTCCGACATGCTCCTGTTTCTGATAAGTAATCACATGATATTTTGAAATTTCATGATTTTTTGCTCAAAATGAATTAATTTCGACATATGAACCAAAAGATGTACTTTTGTCAATTTGGGTCGACCCAAATTCCAATTAAGTTGGGCTCAAAAATAGTTCGACGTCTAGGACGGGTCTTTTCAACAAACTAGGTTGAATAGACACAAAAGACATTTCCTCCCTTATGCTTCTGAAATACAGCATCGTTAACTCGAGTGATGATAAAGAGTATTATGCTATTTAAAAACAGGCTGTAAGTTTTCACTCAGCAGGTAAACACAACTGATTTTTAGAAGTGAAAATTTCTTACCTAGATTGCTTGTATCTCTTCTTCGATCTGACCGCACAACTTTAGCGCCGAAATAAATGGCGTTCTCATCTAGATTCAGAATTCTCATTTTCCCTGGTGACTTGTTCCAGGCGCGATGTCGGCCTTTGTCAAGGATCAGCGTAGCGTGGTTACCATGCCGCTTAACTGTCACGTGATGCCATGTCCCATCATTCACTCTGGCCCAGTCGAGGTCCACTACGCCTGCGCCACTGCCGAAGTCAAAACGCAACTGCAGACGGCCATTAACGATCTAAAAGGAAAACAATCCTTAATTTAAGCCACTGAGGAAAATTGTCCTCTGGTGACCTGTCCTTTAGGAATCAATTTAGCAAGGTAAACCTTTTTGGATTTACATTTATTGCCAGCTCACTCAAAAACAGAAATTTAATTTGCCGTACAAACCTCCAGGATGCTATAGTCATACTGTCCCGCGGCGAACACCAAAGTACCCTGTGGTTCAGTTGTCTTGAGAGCGAAGCTGATGGAACGGGAAGGTTCGTCAAACGATTCCTTCAACTGATATTTTATGTAAGAGTCGCCTCCAAACGTCATTGCCTTGTCACCTACAGACACCAAATCAAACGGTCTTAAGCAAATCCCTCTACATTCCAGATTCCTTTTTTCGGATATATTTGTAGTTCAGTTGGGGGTTGTTCTGCAGAGCCCCAGGACATTAGTACTTTTTTACACACAAACTTTAAAACAATCAAATACAAAATAATTTTCCTTCCCAGTCGACAAGCAGAGTACTAATGTTCGCTCTGTTGAACAAAAGGGTGACTGTGTTAAATAAAGGAGCCATCGTTGCCAAGCGTCACACTAGGGAAAGTATAAGGGGCCACTCACTACTGTATTACTTAATTCCCTAACAGTGTAGATCACTAAAGAAGTAGAGAATGCACCATATCAAGAGAGATGTCGAAGCGATTAGGAATATTACAATGCCCGAAAAGTATATAACACAGGAAAAGTACTCCATACCTGTGATGCATGAAGTGTCCTGGCAGATTGGTGTTTCCAGGTCACACTTAGATGAGTCCACGCACTTACACTGAAATCCCTGTAATACGTCCGCACATTCATAGCCAGCAGGGCAAGGTTTGGAAGAGCATTTACCACTTGTGCCGCTCATACAGCCTGATCATGAACATAACAACGTAGTTAATAATCGGCCAAAAAGTATATTAAGAATCAAAATAATTCCGTGTTAACGTCACATCAAGTGTTACTCTATCCTGAACACAAGACCCACTCGAGTAGTGTTGGTCTTTAGTTTTGCATCTGCGGTGAAATCCCTAACAATTTGTCATTAAGCTAAAACCTTTGACCAGTTGATCAATTGGTACTGGCTTAAATCTAACTACAGTTCTTATTTCTTCTCCTGATTCCATTCACCATCAATTTTGACAAGGTTATCAAGTAAATGCTATCTTGCTGCCAGGATTTTTTGAAAGACAAGTTGAGGACTGGACAAGCGACAACAAGGGCAACGCTAAACTTAAGTGGTCGAGGCTTATTTCATTTACAAGGCGATCACACGAACCGAGGCCACCCAGACATAATTTTGAGACAAATTTTGAAATTAGCTAATCACAAGTCGAGACCTAAAGAATGAAATTGCGCATAATTGTACTCAGAGCCACTTCAAAGTACGCTACGAACCATTTTTCTATAGGATATAAATATGGAATAGTGACGTTTGTATAAATCAAGCTGAAAAAAATTTTGAAAACGTCTGGGTTGGCCGGAAGCAGTTATAAATTTGAATTTTGTGCCTGTTGAACAAAACAACAGAGAACTGGTCAAGCATAGTTATGCACAATTTCATTGTGTAGATCTCTACTTGTGATTAGCTAATTTCAAAATTTATCTCAACATTTTGTCTGGGTGGCTGCCGTTCGTGTGGTCGCACTGTAAGAAAAGGCTTCCGCTCGGGAGCCCTGTAAGGAGGACTGTTAGAAGTTTACGTGAGCTGTTTCTTGCATTATTGTTCCTCAAAATACTATCACGTGAGACAGGACGTAAAAAAGCAGACGCCTGCATGAAGAATTTATGTCGGCACAAACACGGTTTTTTTTTGGCCAAGCAATGACTCACCTCTGTCACGGTCACACATACACGCGTGACTTCTAGAATGCTCGTAACTGATGTAAGTTGTTCGTTCTGACATGATTCTTATCTGCTTGTTCTGCGGTTTGAAAACCGTTTGACATGAATAATTCTCAGGGCACTGCATCAGACGGCACTGGCTGACGCCAATGTAAGCCACCTTGACTCCAACAGTCCGCTCAAAATCGCCACGAGAAGAGTTCAACTTGTGTGCGATGTGATGGGAATCAAAGAAACCCTGTAAAAGAAGAACTGGGATTTAATATGAGGAAACAAGAGCAAACGAGAGTGTTCCCTAAGCCAGGGATCAAAATTCCTTGCCGCTAAAAAAAGATAAGAATACAAAGTATAGAAACAAAATATGGTAGGTACTATATCATGGCTACCGCGTGGGAAATGGACGCCTGGGTTGAGAGATCGTTTCTTCGACAGAAAACTGGGACTAGATTGCAGTCGAGGCTAATGCGGGTGAATCACATGAAATCATTTTTTACTTTACTGATATTCCCAAGAGGAACATCGATCGCAGACTGGTCCCAATTTACTACTGACTACAGATGACTAGCCTATTTTGAGCGCTTTTTGCTTCATTCTTTCGGATGGTTTTCTGAGTTTAAACAAGGGAGTCTATTAATCTAAGAAACACTAACAGGGCATACCTACGCCACGAGACCGTATTGCAAAAAGAAGTCCTACCTTGTGACGCTTCATGATAGCAAACACAACGTCCAAATTGGAATCGGCGGACTGCAGGCTCCAAATATGAACCTTCCGAGCGGGAACCCTCAGGAGACTGCCCAAGTACTTTCGGCATTTTACAAGGTTCCTTTCCACAAAAGCACCAGGACCCAGGTCAGCTAAACGTAGAGTAAGAGAGTGTTCTAATATGTTATCTGTTACATCAGACACGTCGATCTCCACATCAGCATACGTGAAGTACTTGCCGTCTGTGACACTAACATTGAGTCTGTAAATTTTGCTAAGGACGTTGGATATCGCGCTGATGACTCCATCCGGGGTTATAGTGAAGGGGCTCACTGCACCAGGCTCCACAATTGAATACGTGAGAGGGTCCTTGTCAGGATCGCTCCCTTTAACGCTTCCAATGACTCCACCGTTAAACTGTGAGCTGTACAACTTAAGATACACGGCCAGCGGCTCAACCTCAGGAGGGTGAGTGATACTTTCCACCACTTTGATGGTAACCGTCTTGTCGGTAAACCGCGGAGGCTCACCACTATCGAACACGCGGAATTTAAACTTATGCTCGCCGTCTCGGTGATCCAAAGGACCCACCTTGGTAATTAGACCATTTCTATGTAATTTAAACTTGGATCCGTCTCCTTCCAATCTCATGAAATTAAAGGGTCCTGCATTTCCATGGCCATCTCGGTCGTGCGGCCTTAAGAAGATCACTGTGGTACCTGATGGTGCGTTCTCTCTTATGGATACCGTGAAATTGGTGTGAGAGAACTCCGGCGGGTTATCATTAACATCGTTGATTTGCACGTTAACTTCGGTCTCGGAGGACAGCGGAGGTTTGCCTTCATCTTGAGCCCGTACTGTCAGAGTGTACTCGGACTTCAATTCATAGTCACAAGATGCGGCAACGCTTATAACACCGCTTATGGGATCAATTTTAAACTTTCCAACCTCGTTTCCCTTAACGATAGAATAACGGATGTCACTATTGGAGCCATGGTCGAGATCGGTTGCGAAGACCTGAAGCACAAACTTGTCAATGTAAGAGTTCTCGTCGACTTTAGGCCTATAAAAGGCCTGTCCAAATTCAGGGACATGGTCATTCGCATCAGTAACAATAATTTTCAATGACGTTGTAGCGGATAGGACAGGAGGACCAACATCACTCGCTTGAATCGTCAACAAATAGCTTTTCTTGGATTCGTAATCTAAGCTGCCTTGTAAGGTAACAGCTCCAGTAACCTTGTCAATCTGGAACATGTCCGAATCAGGCCCTTGAAGAATGGTGTAAGTTATATCCTCGTCACCAGCCTCGCGACTTATAGCATGCATGGTTGTTACTTGCGTTCCCTTTAAAGAATCCTCGCTGACGTTGGCCTTGTAGCTTGTCTCTTCAAATTCAGGTGGCAAGTCGTTAATATTTAGTACCTGTATCACTACAGAACAGGTAGACGACTTAGAAGGATCTCCCCTGTCTCGAGCCTGTACAGTTAAAGAATACGACTCTTGTACCTCTCGGTTCAGAGACTTCTCTAGGCTTATAATACCACTCTCGGAGTCAATACTGAATGTATTTCCTGCCGTATTCAAAAGGGAGTAAGATATTTTTCTGTTCCTTCCTACATCAGCATCGTCTGCTTTCACTTGCAGTAACACCGTGTTCAATCGTGCGTCTTCATATACTGACTTCCTGTACTCCGCCTGAGTAAAGACTGGCTCGTTGTCGTTGATGTCATCGAGGATAATTGTAATATTGCTAAAGCACGCCTGCCCTCCACGGTCTTCCGCTGACACCATAAAGTTGAACATGTCATGAGTCTCTCGGTCCAGCAGAGCAGCTGTTAGTAGACGACCTAATGTTGAAATGAGATAAAATATAATATTTAAAAACGGTTACACCAATCACACGATTTGCGAGAGCAGTCCCCAAACCAACTTTCACCCAGATTTCACAAGCCAGCTAAACAGAAAATGTGTCAAAAACGCCAGCAATGCAGCGTTTGATCGTGTTGAGATATTATATTTGCTTGCTCCCAAAACAAGAAAGCACTCGCCTATTTGATTAGTTCTCTTCCGAAAATCATACAGCAACATTGTTTATGCTCTGCCTACTCTTACTGTTTTACGGTCCACCTCCCCGCCTCCCCACTGTTGGTAATGCTTTTGTATTGACATAGGTACCGCGATTGACCTTAGAAATCAAAGAAACGATCAACTGGTAGCAAAATAGCCCCTTCTTATCTATGATCACGACATATAGTTCTACTCCTTTAAACTGCGGGCATTCTAATGTGAGACTGTAGCCTGCGTAACCGGCGGCATTGTGTAGTAGTCGAGTGAGATTTGGCAGCCAAGCCGTCAAGAGCGGCGTAAGCGCCCCTCCCTTCTTTGCATCACGGCTCCGCCGCCAAAACTTTAATTGCGCACCGAGACAATACCGCCAGCTAGGCAGGCTAGTGAGACTGTAGACAAAGTATTTGTCAAGGGGATGTTCCGTCCTGTCACACCAGTTTGTTCTTACGGTGTCAGTAAAGCTCAATAAACACTTTCGGAAACGTGGCTTTCTTAGTAAAACTTGATTCTTCGAATCAGGACTTCACTAATTAAGATTCACTTCAACGATTCGGGCAAAATTGCGTTTCAAACAATCAACGTAACGCAAGAAAGGACTAGCGTGACAACTCACCTGTCCCATTTTCAGCCGAGAAGACTCCGATCCCTTGACCGAATACAGAGTATTTCAACTTTCCATTATCATCTGCATCTTCATCAGTTGCCTCAACTACCAAGACCTCGAACCCAGGCTTTACGTCTTCCTGAACATGCTCAATGAAGATGGACTGGGTACAAACAGGAGGATTATCATTGGCATCAAGCACAGTGATATTTAGAGTGACGAAGCTTGTGTACAGACCGTCTGATGCACTCACGTTTAGTTTATACGAGGAAACCGACTCGCGATCAAGAGAAGATTGCAGTGAAACCTTACCAGTTTTCTGCTCGATGACAAATTTCGTTTGAGGATCACCCGACATAATAAAGAAGTAAATATCAGAGTACAAATCTTCATCGACAGCTTCGATCGTGCCTATCTCTTGCCCAATAATGGCATCTTCACGCACCACGAACTCGAAAATATCTTCGGTAAACTTTGGCGGTGAGTCATTCACATCCAGCACAGTCACGTGAACAGCGGTCTGACCCGATAACTGCGTGGCGTTGCCTCTATCAGTCCCACGCACGCGGAGAATACGCGAGTTAAAGACTTCGCGATCAAGATGTTTTACTGTGGTTATCCAGCCTGTGTGCTGGTCAATCGCAAAGAACTTTGGGTCTCCTTCAAATTCATATAAGATCTGCCCATTAATGGAGTCGTCTAAATCCTCGGCAAACACTCGTAACACCTTCGACCCATTTTCGATATTCTCAGGAACACTGACTCTGTAGGGATTGGCCAAGAAGTGAGGAGTGTTGTCATTAATGTCTTCAACTGACACAATGACAACTGTACGCGCCACTTGGGAGGCTGAAGCCGCTTCCGCCTCTATAACAAGAACGTATCTCTTCAGGGTCTCATGATCCAATGGATCCTCCAGTTTAATCTGTCCGTTAGCGTCAATGCTGAACTTCTCTCCACGCGACGAAGGTGAATTCCCAGGAATGATCTTGAAGCTAATGAGCGGGCGTGTGCTGCCAGGAAACGAAGGACGCACTATTGTTACCACGGTGTCAACTTTAGCATCTTCTGCTATGCTTACTCGATACTCAGGCTTGTTAAACTGCAAGATCTTTGCGTCTTTTGTTACCACATTGACCGAAACAGGAACCATGGAACCCAACTGTGGGCTGCCACCATCCTTCACCAGTACATAAAACCTGTAAGTTTTTACTTGTGGTTGTTTGGCAATTTTTATCGCTCCTGTGTCCGTTTCGATCTCAAATACCGGTGGGGTCTGGTGACCGAGTATGACGTAGGTCAGCAGACTGTTACTTCCCGTGTCTGCGTCACTTGCTGACGTCACTAGGATGTGAGAACCCACAGGCTTCGACTGTTGAATGGTTATCTCGTAGCTAGTAAGCTCGAATTTTGGCTGATTATCGTTCTCGTCTAAGATGCGTACCTGTTGAAAGGAGAAAGGTCACTTGTGAAGAAAGTTTTTATGAAACAACAAGCGACTCTACAAAAGAAAGTCTTTCCAGACACTGAAAACTATTCACCCCAAACCAAAATGACATTCAACGCACCATCATTAAACCTGGAATGCAAGTCTACACGAATAAGAACGATTGAGAATATTAATAATTAGTAAAATCCAACTAGTGGTCTATTATCAATGCTACGTTCTAATTGGTTGAGCTACTAGGTTATCTGTTATAGCCCACTAGTAGCGAAAGGCGCGGGCTTTTTGGCGGCAAAAAGGGATTAAAGTCTAGTTTTAACTAACTAAAATTTTTTTATTCTCGATATTTTTGACCAACTAGTTGGATTTTACTAAAACAATTATTCCTCTCGCCCTCATGACCTTTGAGTCAATAGCCCATTCGGCCTTCGGCCTCATGGACTGACTGAGAGCCTATTTGGGCTCGAGGAATAATTGTTAATTAATGGAAAAAGAAAATACACTCGTGGTCCCCAAAGTGTCCGAGAAACGTTTATTCATCTGAGGGGAACGTTTCTCAAACGTCGCGATGATTAACAGGTCCGGAAAGCTCTTGTTAATAAAAATTCTCAGTTAACGACACAAAATGGGCAGGCTTTTTTTCATGGACTTGCGCATTAATTTTTTAGATTTTGATTTGGATGTTTGATTTTGGCCCCGAAACGTTACCGGGACGTTCGACCAATGGGCCCCAAGGCGGATTTCGACATACACTGAAAATTATTTACAATTTACACCAGCGTCCTGAATTTAAGTATAAGAGCAAGCGGAGAGAGCCTCTTACCTCCACGGTACAGAATCCAAATTTTCCACCGCCGTCTGTGGCTCGTATAGGAACAGATGTGAAGGCGTGAGATGAATTCTCGCGGTCAAAAGTAAGCCTGCTGTATATCATTCCTGTATCAGCATCAATGGAGAACTTTTCAGACGCCTCCACGTCATCTATAGAGTACCGTATGCGGGCGTATTTGCCAGAATCCTCGTCGGTGGCTGTGACCATGGTAATAAACATACCTTCGGGGTAATTCTCTTGCAAATCGACAGTGTAGGTTTCCTGGTCAAAGACTGGGCTGTGGTCGTTTGTATCCCCAATAACGACTCTTACACTAGTCTTAGCAGTCCACTTTCCATCTGTGACTTGTACGCCAAGGTCATACACTTTACCGCGCTCAAGACCAGCTTTTCTGGAGATGGTTAAAACACCCGATTTCGAATCCAGTTCAAAGAACTCCTTGCCATTCCCAGAGGTAAAAGAGTAATGCAACTTTCCAACATCACTTTGGTCTGGATCTGTAGCAATGACCCGCGTGACGAAGAATCCAGGCCCTACTCCACCAGACACGGAAGTGGCGTAGTTGTCCTGTTCAAACTTGGGTGGGTTGTCGTTGGCATCTTCGACCACGACGCGTACGCGTGCCTCCCCAGTCAGCGGTGGACTTCCACCATCGGTGGCTATGACCTTGAATTCGTGGACCACGTGTGCTTCATAGTCGAGTTTCTTGGCGACTGAGATTTCGTTGTTATCCTGGCTAATTATGAAAAATCCACTAGTTTTACTGTCCAGTTGGTAGGTCAAAGCCTTGTTGATACCGGAGTCTCCATCGAACGCGTAAACGGAAATAACCGAGGTACCAATCGGCATGGCTTCGGAAACCTTCGCCAGATAAAGTGATCGGTTGAACAGTGGAGGGATATCATTGACATCAGTGACAGTGATGTCGACATTTATTTCTCCAAATGAGAATGTCTTGGCATCGGTCGCGCGGACGGTGAGCTGGTAACTCGTAAGAGTTTCGTAGTCAAGAGAATCTACTACTGTCAGGACGCCTTAAAAGTAAGGAAATAGTAAGTAGAATCATTATGTACAAGTTACAATAATCATGCTGAGCTGCGCATTAAAATCGGGAAAGAAATAAACCAAAGGGGCTTTGGTGAAGGGTAGTGACTATACCGCACTCCCACTGGTTACAGGTTTTCTTGCGCAAAACCGCCAATAGTATCGTCGTCCTTCGCGAAAGAAGCCATTTCCGAATTGCCCCAAGCCCCTGTTTCGAAGCGATGATAAGTGCAAGGCCATTGATATGAAAACGAGCTTTTGTTCACATACAAATGAAATTCATTTTCACAGTTTTTGCAGTTGGCCTGGTTTTGAAATTGCCTATTGGTAATGTGCATGATTAATAGCTTCAACCCTGAGTGCTTTTCTTTCATTTACTGACAATGTTTTGACAATTGTTTACCTGTTTTCAGTTCAATAGAGAACTGATTCAATGGATCTCCTTGCACGATGCTATAGAGGATACTGGCACCACCCGGACTCCTGGCTTGAATGCGACCTACTTCCTCGCCAACTTTTACATCCTCTGACAGCACCTTACTGTAAGACAACTGATGGAATATTGGCGTCTCCTTATCCACCACTTTCACCTGCACAACCGCTCTTGCGCTCAGTTGCTGCAGGCCGTTATCACGGGCTTCGATTTCAAGGGTGAAGACGCTGTGAATGGCTACATCATCCAGCAATTGACGGACCTTGATGTTACCTGTGGTTTGTTCAACTTCAAAACGACTGTCACCTCCACTTTTGAGGAAGTAGCTAAAATAGAGAAATGTTAAAGACTGTGTTATGATGGTTAGGTCACTGGTGAAATCTCGAGAAAGAAATTCCTTCCCGGCAACGAATATCCTTTATCAGTGGACTAGCATTTACACGCTCAACAATAAACTGAAATAAAGTTTTAAGTGTCGAATATAGTTTCCCCCTAAGGTTGATTTCCACTGACGCGTTTTTGGCTACGCACGGTAACGGACGTAAATTTTAATAACGTAAATAAAATAGGGGCAAGATAAAAAGTGCTGAGCTTAAACGAGAAGCTGAGCGAGGTTCAACTTTTACGCTGACGAGCGACCCTTCATGCATTGCCTCTATTTTATTTGCGAACGTAAATTTTACGCACGTACGCACGTTAAACTCTAATACTCTCCATATAATATCATCTTCATATCCCGAAGTACAACAAATTAAAATTCGAGCCCGACTCGGTCGGTTACAAGCACGCATGTCTCAAAATTAGGGACAAATCAATATTCTGCACATACCTGACTTTACCATTGCTACCGATGTCCTCATCTAAAGCTTTTACGCGACCAACAGAAGATTTTACATCCGCGCTGACTTGGACAACGAAAAAGTAAGTCTCCTCGATGAACTTTGGCACATTGTCGTTAGCGTCGTCTATGGTCACATGCACAACACTTTGAGCAACTCTTGGCAACGGTTTCCCACCATCTCGAGCTTGCACGACGACTTCATATTGATCTACTGCTTCACGATCAAATTCCTTTCCGGGAAGGGTTGACACGACGCCTGTACTTTCAGAGATCAAGAAAACATCTGAAGGTGTAACGATTGAGTAGGTAACGAACTCTGAGACCGAATAGCCTACCGCCCGCACTGTAGCTATTTCTCTTTCTGTACTGATTCCTTCCAACACAGAAGTACTATAGATTTTCTGACTGAATTTCAAATCACTGAGCGGCAGAGGAGTGCAATGGACATCAACAGTGGTTTCGTCGGTGAAATTCCCGTCAGAAACAGAGACTTTCATGTGATAAGTAGCTTCAGATACAAGTGATACGTTCTTCACGGTGATGATACCAAGTGATGGAGAAATGCTGAATTTTTCTTCTAGATGAGGTGTAGCTATAGAATAACTAAGGTTGGTGAGAGCAGGTGAGTCTCCGTCAACCGCGCTAACTTTAACAACTTCAGCTCCCGGAAAAGTTGGAATGAAGACGGTGGCGCTGAAAGTGTGCGCGATGAAGGTAGGTGGTATGTCATTTACATCTTGTATAAAGACTTCTATATCTACAAAAGCAGCAAAACTTGGGACACCACCATCTGAAACTTTGACCTTGAACTTGTACGAAGACACCATCTCAAAATCAAACACCTTAAGATGAAGAAACAAGAAAAACATGAGTGTTACGCCTAATAAAACTCTTGTACTTGCAAGTTGAGTTTGTGTTGGTACTAGTCTAAGTGCTGGAAGGGTATTTAATAAGGAAGGTAAAAAGTGGTTATCCAAAACTACCATCTAATAAGTAACACAGAAAAGATTGGATCACACTGTATAACGCACCACTGACACAGTTGAACTCTCACCACCGGCACAATGAGGTTGTCATACAGATATCTTGAATGAGAAAAGTGACGCGTAGACCCGCCGTCCACGCGACAAGTCACTAAGTAATTCGCCACTTTAGAAACGAGAACTTAGGGAAATTGACCGAGTTCACTTCCATAAAGTCTTCTGGATTGTTAATTGGGACGGGAAAAAATTGGTCAAAAAGGACTTTAAGATCCAACGACGCTACGGCAAAGAGAACGTCAAAAACAATAAGTTTAAGGAGCGAAACAGCAACTTTGCACGTGCATCACACTTTTCTGTACATTTCTTTGCCATTATAACACTACTACGACACGAAAATGCCTAATTTCGCGTTTTATGGAACGTAAACAAGCAACGACGAAATTTTATTTCTCTTTCTGAACTTGGGTATTGTCCCTTAGAATTCAGACTGAAAGAACGCAAGTTAGCTTATTAATCCACGATCTCGTTGTCGTCACGTCTTTGGATCTTAAAGTCTCTAACAGCTTCACGGCGCCTCCCCAGTAACGATCCAAGGAACAATTGCGCGACGCACTTCGGCTCCTGATTCCTTCCCTTTTCTAAAGTGGCGAACCTTTTGTTTTCGATGCTGGAATCAAAATGTTGGTAATGTTGTTGTTTCTACTGAAAACCAATACTGCAAATTCCATCTAGATAAAAGACAAAAATTAGGCTGTTCGTACCTCAGCTGTAGTCAGTGCTCCTACGCGAGGGTCAATAATGAACGCTGAACATCCAACAATCTCGTAAATCAAATCACTGCCGTCGACATCAGCATCCGTGGCGTTGATCACAAGGGGTTCTCCGTTTTCACCTGTCACAGCAGACTTTTCAGGTAGGCCCTCAGACACGTAACCAAAGTACAGCGCCTTGCGAAAGACTGGTACATTGTCGTTTTCGTTAATTATCTTTACAATCACTTGAGTTTGCCCTTCGTCGCCCTCACTACTGGTGGCGCCAATGGTAAGCTTACATTCACTCATCTCTTCAGCGTCAAAAGATTTCTAAGAGGAGAGAAAAGGTAAATTTTAACGATCAATGATTTGCAGAAATACGATTCGATAGTGGTAATTATGAACATGTAAAAGGAGATGTTGACACTACCTTCTCTTTTCTCCCTCCATTTCAAACCCACACCACGACAATCAATTGACCATTCCAGAGAATACCACAACATACCATAATGCTCTCTGTTTGTCAACCCAAAATTTTGCATAAGCATTGTTTTCAGTTTCTCTTGGGGCCACTTTGACTCCGACGAGAAACTGAAGACAATGCTTTTGCTTTGGGGTGACAAACAAAGAGCATTATGGTATGTTATGGTATTTCTGGAGTGGTCAATTAGGTTTACGTTTGTAAGGGCCTGTTTACATGGAGGTGAGGGACCCCATGTAGGTGAGATAACCCGCTTAGGTGGGGTAACCCGTTTGTCCATATGATCTCTCATTTTAATTTGATCACGTTTACATGATAGGTGGGGTGACCCGCCATATTTTACCTCACCTAGCTGGGGTCCCCCACCTCCATGTAAACAGGCTCTAAGACGTTGCGGCACGATATTGTTTTACAGGACTTGAAAATGCTTAGACAGGCTATTTCATAGGCTCGATTACCAGCCGCTTTCTCGTGAAATGAGCCCGCGCCCCTCTCACGAGAGAGCGGCGGAAATCGAGCCTAGCTATTTCAGAAATCCCTTAAAACTCTGTTTTAAAATTAGGGCACATGCGAGACTATTGGTACGAAAATGATTTTTTTATCCTAACGCAAACAAAACTTATTTTTACAAAAAAAAAAAAAAACCTTTGTACTTTGTTAACCTCGTTTCAGTTCACAGTGAGGTTATGTTTATACTATACAGGATAACTTTTCGTGTCGAACTGGAAAAACTTGTTCACAATGCACATCAAACATCATGCCGCCGCCGCCGCCGCCGGAGGTGTTGGCCGACAGGGTTTGGTGAACTGAATCGCAGTCCTCACCCTTGAATAATATTTACTACTGTGTCAGTGGATTATAAGAGAGATTAAGATTCACGTTTACCGCGAACGGCAAACGTCAGATTCAATTCTCAGAATAGAAGATAAGCAGATAAAAACAGTTCAGAACGATTCAAAAGGATAAAACTGGCATAAAATTACTTATTTTTGCGTAGAAGCAATAACGAGTAAACGGAAAATAAGGGGAAAACTTGTTCACGTGGTACAAATTCACGTTGCCGTTTGGCGTAAACGTGAATCTTAATCTCCCTATAGTCGTCGCTTCTACTTCTACTTCTCTTCCTGTTCACACTGCACCAAAGTCTGGCACAAAACCTGTCCGATATGTGACGCTCCACTTTGGAGATCGGAGCGGCGCAGCTTAGCTTCGTTACAGAAATCGCACCGAAATCATCGTTCTCGGCTTATGTATGAACAGAAGCTCTGCTATCCGGGATGGTTTCCGTGCGGACAGAAGAGCCATCCGACATAGTGTGAACATAACCTGAGTGTTTGGCGCTCGGAAACGGCCTGGCCTGTTTTACGGGATCTCTTCTCATTGAGGAACGACATAGAAAATTCCAGATTCAGATTTAACGTCAATCCTGGTTTTGTTTATTTGTTTAAACACGTCTTGGCCGGCTTAAGATCAAGCACGTTTTTCAAAAAAACTTTTATGTCGGAACACAACTCCACGGATTAGAACCAAATTGAAAGTAGCTCATCGAGACAAGACCTCAAGCAGAGTTGTCAATACTAGGAGTGACAGTTCTTTGTTACATTGAAGTTTCTCCCTCTTCTTTTATTTGTAACTTTGGGCTTAACTCTTAATCACAAATAAAAGATAAAGTGACATACGGAGACAATAAAAAGGAACAAAAAAGCTTCCAGACACAAACAAGAGGAAAAGAAAGACGATTTTTCAAAAAAAACTTAACTATTATCTACAAGACTTAAAACAAGAGTACAATAAAAGATTCCTACTGGCTGATGCTAGTATTGAATCTTTTTCTTTTCTTTCTTTTTTTTTCATTTTCTTCATTTTAATTTTTTTACATAATCTACGTATCTTTTTTATCATGTAGTTTTTGTCATGTATGAGGTAGTGTTATGACTTTATTGAGCATTCCGATGGGTTTACTTGCAGCCACACGTATGGCCATCGCATCAGTCATTAGGAAACTTTTATTGTATTTGAGCTTGCAAACAATAAAAATAATCATTGGGTTCATGCGAGCGCTATATGCAGCTGCAATTAAACCACGTTGAATTTATTGAAGTACTATACATTTCGTCTTAAAGCTTTTGCCTTGCGCGATGGTCTTTCGGAAAGTTATGAAGCATTGAATATAGGTTTAAATTGAAGGAGTTTAAGTTTCATTAAAAAAAATGAAGCTTCCATGTCGCTAAGTGATCTGACAAAGCACTGAAAATTCAGCTTACATAAATAGCAGTTTAAATGCAAACTAAACAAACTAGATGCCATTTTTTCTTCTTGAGTGTTCTTCTTTGCATTGTACCCGCCGGGCGGGGCATATAGTCCATATGGCGTCCTCACGAAATATTTGATCGCAGAAAGAATACAAAACCACGGACTAAGGAGGTCAAAGGTTAACCTTAGTATATGTTAACAAGTCACGAACTGATTTGCTACATTTTTTAAAGAGGATAACAGATTTGGAAACAAAAACCTATCATAAGTGCAATGGTCTTTGATTTCATTAACAGTTGCCGTAAATTTACGACCCTGAAGAAATAAAGACGAAAAATGGCGTCGTCTACGCACCACAGGCAGAAAGTTATTGATGAAATTCGCTCAATGCCACGAGAGAACTGTCACTTTGAAATGAAACAATTTCAACCATTTCTTGTAGAACATAATACAAAGAATAGAATTACTGAACCTTGACTGCGGACGTCATGTCGATGAAATCATTAATTTTAAGTTGAAAAAACTTTTGACAGGGTCATGATAAGCAAGCGCTGGTTTCTGAATAGAAAATAGAGCACCTATACTCTGCTGCAAACGTAGAATTCCATCTATAGCGTAGCCTGTTCCCTGTTCCAAGTTCAGCCACTCTCTCGCCCCCAGTTTTGTGCAAATTGTTTTCGTGATAAGATGGCGCGCTCGAGTGACAGAAAAAAAGGTAATTAGCGCATTGAAGCGCATTTATACTATAGCATTGACACTAAATACACTTCTTTTGTTGTTTATCAGAAAGCCAAACAGGGTGGTCCCTACTGAATGAAATCACCACGTGTGACCATTCGCGAACCTACCAATTTCAAAAAGCAGTACTTTGTTGCTTTAATCTTCGTTGAGAAGTTCTTTTGCAAATACAATTTACCAAGACATTTTCTTCTAGTGCACATCAATTGAAACAGTACGTGTCCGGTAATTGAGATAGCTGGATAAAAAGTTATCGTGCAATTCACGCACAGAGTATTAAGTTGTTCTATTTATATAATCACGGAAAGCATATGTGTAAACTCACGCGAACAGCAACCAAATGAAAATAACATTTTGTATCCAATATGCGGAAGGTTTGCAACAACGGAAACAGTTTCTTTCGATTCTGCGAAGACATAGCTAAGAAGTTACCGCACATCTTTATTTAAGTCAGATGAAACGAAACTGACACACTGTGACTGGACTGTCAAATATTTTTTACCACTCCAAATGTCTCTCTCACAGTATCAAAACTACGTCTTTTTGAAGTTTAGTTACTACATTGTGGAGATTTTTTGGAAAAACATTTCACAGACGGGTTTAACAATCAGTTATGAAAGAAAATGTACTGAAAAAAAAAATCCAAGAAATCAGAAACGCGCTTGCATAATACATTTCATGCTCAGCACGCAACGAAAATCAGACCACCAGAGAATTCCACAAAAATTGCGGGATGTTGGACGAGAATATAACACTGTTGCACTTATAAAGTTTCAATTTTCCTTGGTAAATATACACTCATATTACCGGAATCGCCTCCAGTAATTTAACCGCGTGGAGGGAATACTTCCTAAGCATAGTAATGTATACCTAACCTAATTCTTCTTTTAAATGTGCGGATACATTTGTCTTTCGCAGACTCTCAGCACATGCTATGACGATTGCAATGCTGAATTTACAGCATGTATTCAAATTGCCTTGTAAGTGGATTTCCTTGGTACTTTTATTTCCGAAACTCCAAAATAATATTTTTTTAATCAAAACATAACGTACTAGCCAAAGTGTTTAAATAATTTACTAGAATGAAAAAAATACTAATTGAAGAAATTTCGTAGCGCCCTTACAGTTGCCAAGACCTTAGAGTACGTGGAGGTCAAAAAATGGAAATTTATGGCGCAATTGACGTCATTAAAGTGGCTGCATATTTCCCTTCTGTAATAAAACTGTAATGAAATGGTGATTTATAAGGGAACCCTCTGAGAAGCACGAGGCTTTTTTTTCAGACGCTCTCATAAAAAGATGACGTCTGGCACCACTGAGTACAGACTTTGGACCTTGGTTTGCGTAATGATGAAGTATTGTACACCACTTGTTGACCACAAACATCTCACTACTTAACAATTGGTTTCTTCACAGTTATTCAATAAAAACTCACGTTCTATGTGTTTCCTTTGAGTTAGATAATGTTGATTCAGACGAAAAAAGTAAGTTAGATACCGATTTGGAGAGGTTTTAGCTTTGGTGACAAACTATGGAACAAAAAAAGTTAAACAAGTTTTCTGGATAGTTTAGTAAAGTTATGAAAGGTAAAACTCTCTTGCAATGCCTGCAAAAAAAGATACTCATCCCTGTTGCCAATGATTACAAGGTTTTTCTGGTATCATGGAGCCCTGTTAAATATAGGCTATGAGCAGCACTTTTTTGCCGGTTTGCAAAAGTGAAATATGGCACCTCCTTAACTGAGTTGGACACTACACTGTGTTCAGTAATGGTTGATCTGTTCATACCTTGTTTGTGATGAGTCCAGATTTTCTATTCACCTCAAAATCCTTCCAACAGGCACTATCCATAGGAACGAGATCATAAGATGTTAGGCTACCATTAAACACAACATTCATTATGGGATATCCAGGGCCAACATTTTCAGTGATTGAAGCTTGGAATAATGGGCGATCAAATATGGCTGGTCTCTTGATTCCTGCCACAAATATCTATCAAAAAAAAAAAATTAAACACATTTAGTCTGGTTGGCAATGCAATTTAATTATTCTTTTTAAACAGCTTTTATCTATCAACAAGGGGCCAATACTATCACTGTCACCCTCTAAGCATTGTAAACCCACAAATGATAATTCTGTAGACTAAGGGGGGATACAATGTATGTTTAATGCTTCGTGTACTTTCTATATATAATGCTCTGTCGAAAATAAGCTGCGAAAAAGCTCTCTATTTCGAGCGGTGAGCAGAGAGGGCCACGAGTGATCATGTGAGTGCAATTAGCTCTCTCATTTCCTTCCGTGTGCCTTTTACATGTGAAGGGTATGGACAACTGATGTTTATGTAGTTAGAGAAAGTTAACAAGTATTTGGAACAGATGCAACTGGAAAGTAATGTTAGTAGGAAACAGGCAAGTGTTTTTTTCCTGTGGATAAATGAAAGGAACACCATTTTCTATGGAATTTACAATGTACAATGTATTTGAGAAGCTTATTTCTTGATAATATGCTGTATATCAAGGGGAAAGACCGGGTTCAGCCCTTTTGCTGTGGTTTCCCGCTACAAATTTTGTTAAGTACCCCGGTTTCAAGGATACTGGTGAACTTATGTTCCAGACATCATCACCATCCTCATATCCCTGCGATGCTATACTTAAACAATGTGACTGAATATAGGCTCACCTCAACTTGTGCCTCAGCAGTCTTGGCTGTGCTACCACTATCAGATACATGGATTTGAAGTGTGTATTTGTTGAAGGTGGGGTCTAAGTTTTTGGCCACTTGAATGATCCCTGAATTCTGGTCGATGTAAAAGGCTTCATTTCTATTACCACCCTTGATAGAGAACTTAAGTAGTGCATTTGTACCATCATCTTCATCAAATGCGAATGCCTTGATGATGGATGTGCCAGGGCTGCTGTTAACATTGACTTCAGCTTCAAAATCTGATTTCAGAAACACTGGTTTGTGGTCATTGACATCATCAACTGAAATAACAACTGAAAACAGGCTTGTTCTTGCATTCTTCTCTTCATCTTTGGCTTCAATTATGAGGATGTGCTCCTTCATGTCTTCATAGTCAAGAGCTTTGATGGTCTTTATTTCCCCTGTCTTGCTATGTATTTTGAATAGTGACATGGACTTTGGAATTACTGAACCATTAATAGCATAGGCAACTCCACGTTTTTGTTCAATGTCATCTGGGTCTACAGCTGTCAAATAAATAAGAAATTTAAGTGATCAGCAAAGAGGTTATTGTGCGGTGATTCTATGTTCTACACTTTTTTAATGAACTGAAGGCTACCATTAGCTATATAGTTGGTAAGGAAGAGTGGAATGGAGTCGGTACTAATTTGAAGGAACACACTTAATATTTTTAGCAAATACAAGGAGGGTGCTTATTTGAAGTGGGAACTTACAGTGAATTTGACGCTGAGTGCTAATTCGAGCATTATGGTAAATTACATGAAAATAACAAATTTAGGATGGATTTATTTGCTATGATACCTTTGTCTGTTACATTTCATTTGCAGGAATTTTTTAATAATTAAAAGCTTAAGAACAGTAAAAAATTCCAAAAGGCAAATACGAGGGAGATGAATCAATCCTTACTTAGTCAATTAATAACAATAGTTTACTAAAATATAGGCATAAATATAATAATGATAATAATAACAATAATAATAATAATAATTCAAAAATAATGATTATTATCATTCAAAGCAAATTTTTCTTTCTTTTATCGGCCAAGAGCCCACCATGTGACCTACAAATAACTGCCTACAAATAATGGTTTGCTCATGCGCAATGCCGTCCAACTGTGTTTGCCTGCAAATAATATTCTGCACATGCGTAAAGAAAACCGTGCTTTTCTCCTTCTTGCCATTGCTCTTGTGTGAAAATGGCAGATCGTTTCGCTTCCCAAGGATATTCATTAAAAAAACAAACGCGGGGATTGAATGATAAAACAATCATTGAATTCAGTTATCACAAAATATCATGATTTTCCAGTGTCTTGCAGATCAATAATTTGCCTCAGCCTTTGGTTTAGGCAAATAATTATTGATCTGCTCGTCACAGACAAATCATGATATTTTGCTCAACCTTGTCCAACAATAATATTGTTAATAATTATTGCATTGACCGGGCAAGCAAGAACAGAGTATCCAGAATTATCATTCGAAGCAAATTTTTCTTTCTTTTCATTGGCCGAGAGCCCACCACGTGACCTGCAAATAACTGCCTACAAAATTTGTATTATTTAATAATGGTCCGCTCATGTGCAATGCCGTCCAACTGTGTTTAGCTGCAAATAATATTCTACTCATGTGTAAAGGAAACCGTGCTTTTCTCCTTCTTGCGATCGCTCTTGAGTGAAAATGGCAGATTGCTTCGCTTCCCAAGGATATTCATTAAAAAAAACAAACTCGGTGATCGAATGATAAAACAACATTATTGAACTCAGTTATAGCAAAATATTGTGATTTGTCAGAGTCTCGCAGATCAATAATTATTATTTGCCTCAGCCTTCAGCTTTGGCAAATAATTGATCTGCTCGCCACAGACAAACCATGATATTTTGCTCAACCTCGTCCAATAATTGTTAATTAATTTTAAAAGCAGGTTGCGCATTACTCAAGGTGAATTCCAGCCACTAGACAACAAAAGCCAAGGTCAGTCAGTCTTCCACTATGAATGAAATTTTTGAGGCCATGGATTTCCATGAGATTTTATGGCTTTTGACTCAATTTGTTTGGTTTGACAAAAATTTCTGAGACCTATGATTATAAGTTTAGGTGTATGTTAAAGAAGTTGGCAGCTTGTATTACAGTCCTCCAGAGGCCTAGGGCAACCATGTGTTGTGATTTGGTTGTTACTATTGAATTCTGGTCGCTGACAACTGGACGACTGTAAATATCACAGGAAAAAATAACAGATTCCCATTATTGGATATTTTAGGGTATTTAAAGAATACCGATAAAAATCCCAAGTTTGGCAAAGTGAGACAAGTCCCAACCAGGGAATTCCCAACCAAGTTCCCTTGTTGGTACTTGCATGTCTCACTCTTCCAAATTTGGGATTTTTGTGGGTATTCTTTAAATACCCTAAAATATCCAAAAATGGGAATCTGTTAATTTTTCCTGTGTATTGGACTCTGCCATACATAACACTGGTCCTTAGAGAGAGTCTTACCTTCAACTTTCGTCAAAAGAGTGCCTGGTTTTGCATCCTCAGATATATGTACCTGATATTCAGTCATTGCCGGTTGTGGTGCATTATCATTGATATCTTCTATGACAATTATCAAAGTTGTTGTGGCAACATGGTGGTCATCTGAAGCAGCAACAGTTAGATTATAAGAACTCACTTCTTCGTGATCAAGTTTACCAGCAAGCATAATCTTGTCGCTATCAATGTGGAATTTATTTCCAATGTTTCCTGATAGAAAAGAATATGACAAAGAGTCATAATCTCTGTCAGCAGCTGAAACCCATAAAACAGATTTTCCAACATCAAAATCTTCTTTGATGGTGACTCTGTAGATTTCTTTTTCAAACTGTGGAGGGTTAGAACTTGGTGGATTTTTTTCTACAAAGATTAGAGATCCAGAAAGGTAAGCAGATCTCTGAGGAACTCCTCCATCTGTTACACTTATTTCAAAATCAAGAAAGTCATCTAAGGTCCATGCTTGTTCTGAATACACAACACCACTCTTTGGATTGATGGTTAGATTCCTGCTACTGCCCTCAAGTGAAGTAAAGCTGTAGGTAAGATCTCCATTGGTGCCAATATCTTCATCTTTTGCAAAAACACGGAAGAGTTCAACAGGAGATGATGAGGCTTCTCGTTCTTTAACATAAATAAAACCATCATCATCACCGTACCTTATAAATTCAGGTCCATTGTCATTGGCATCTGTTACTGTGACTTGGAAAGTTAGGTTGGCAAACTGGGGTGGGGTTGTGTCTGTAGATACCTGAACAGTTAACTCATAATAGTCTTTCTCTTCTCGATCAAGAGGTACTGTGGTTATAATAAGGCCAGTGTCTTTATCAATAGCAAATTTACTAGTGTCATCTCCTCTGACAATAGAGTAAACTAATCGAGATCCATCCGAATTTGGATTGTGAGCTGTAACGGAGACCACACTCTCTCCTGCTCTAACATTTTCTTGTACAGTGGGGTAATAGACAGCAGGCTTGAAATAAGGAGCAACGACTTTAGTCGGCATCACATGAATCAAGAGGTGGATGTTTGTATGAAGTGGATAAATCTCACAATCCTTGGCCTGGACAGTAAGCCAGTAATGATCTGTATCAGCACGATGGATTACTTGTGTTGTTCTTATGATGCCAGTTTGAGGTTGCATTTCAAACTTGTCAATACCTGTACCATCAATTATGGCAAAACGTATAAACCATGAGTCTTGATCCTTAGCCTTTAATTTGATAACAAATGTACCAGAAGGTTGGTTCTCAAGAACATTTACCTCTTTATACATGAGAGGGCTAGTCACACCGACAAATGCAGGAACAATGCTGTTCTCATTCACATCAAGGATATTCACTATAACACTTGCATAAGACTTTAACTGTGGCACTCCTTTGTCACTGACTTTAATAGTCAAGTTGTATACACTCTTAGATTCATAGTCAACCCTTCTACGCAGCTTTATCACACCACTATCAAGATCAATCTTGAATTTCTTTACATTATTAAGCAGCTTGAATTCTAGTTCTCCCCCAGCACCTGTGTCAGGATCTTGAGCAGAAACTGTTGCTACAACACTATCAAGTGGTATGTCTTCTGGAATTGACACATTAGCATTTTGTGGAACAATAACTGGTGCATTGTCGTTTATGTCAATCAAGTTTACAATTACCAGAGTGGAGGTCATCTTCTGAGATAGAAGAGCATTATCAAATGCTTGCACTTCAATGATGTATTTAGTACTATCTTCATAATCAAGGACTGATGCCACAGAAATCCGTCCTGACGTTGAATCAATGCGAAACTTTCCACCATAGTCGTTCACTATTTTATAGGTGACTTCGCCATTCTTTCCTTCATCTGGGTCTGTTGCATTCACCAATACAACAGTTTGTCCACTGGTGACATTCTCAAGCAGTTCTACACTGTAAGAGTTTTTGTCAAAGATGGGTGAGTTATCGTTAGAATCCTCCACAATAACAGTGACTTTTGTAAAAGCTGTTTTACGTGGAGAGCCACAATCTGAGGATGATATGTTCAAAGAATATTTAGACATTGTTTCTCGGTCCAGTGGTGATTCAACATAAAGTTCTCCAGTTTGCATGTTTATGTTGAAAGCACTTCCAATGTTACCACTGACTATGGAATACAGTACCATTCCATTGAAGCCTTGATCCTTGTCAGTGCTTGTTAGCTTTATCAGAGAAGAACCAATACTGACCTCTTCACTTACATTGACTAAAGCATTGTGCACCTGAAATTCTGGAAAGTGCTGGTTCAGTGGCTTGGGAGCTGCTTTGTCATTGGAACTAACAGAGGGCTTTAAGTTGCCCTGTTGCTTAATCTTCTCTTTAGCTTTGATGTATTCTGGAAAAACTGAGTATTGCACTCTCACATGATCGGAAAATCCAACAGCAGCCTCGCCAGCAACAACCTTGATTTTCACAGTCACTGGATACTTTGACTTTTGAACAGAGTCAGTGACAGTAATGTACAAAGAAAACTCCTTGACACCTCCAATAAGAGATTTAGCTGTTTTCAACTCTCCACTGGCCGGGTCGATCTTAAATGTATTGTCAGTGTTCCCAGCAGACTCAATTGCATACAACAATGCATCTGATACTGCAATATCAATGTCAACAGCAGTCAGAGTAGTTAACAAAGTTCCAACCGGAGCATTTTCTGCAACCTGTATGTTGCACTTAAAATATTGAAACACAGGCAGGTTGTCATTCAAAGCTTTGATTCGTATGTGCACATAAGTCTCTGTCTCTCTTCGGAATGGTTTCCCGAAGTCAGATGCCCGCACCTTTAATGTTATATGTTCCTGTAGACCTGTATCTCGATCAAGGGAAGTGAGTGTTGTAATGTCACCTGTCTCAGGGTCAATGGCAAATGGAACATTTTCAGTATTTGTGAGAGAGTAGCGAATCTTTCCATTGTCACCAGAATCATGATCAGTTGCAGTGATGGTCAGCAGTTTCGCCCCTGGTCTCTGATCTTCAAAAAATTCAAACTGGTACGATAATTCATCAAATTCAGGGTCATGATCATTAGCATCCTCAATTTCAACAGAAACTTCTACACTAGCCATCTGCCTTGGGATTCCAGCATCAAGTGATTGCACCTGGAATTTGTACAGCTGTTTTGTTTCATAGTCAAGGTGTGAAGTGGTTGTGATCAGGCCAGTGTCATGATTAATTTTAAAACTGTCACTATCGCCTCCTACCAAAACATAATTGAAGTGGCGATTTTTCCCAGACTGACCATTTCCTGCAAGTACACGAACGACAGAGGAGTGTGGTGGTGCAAGTTCCGAAATCTTGGCTTCGTACTTGCTTTGGAGAAATGCTAGTTTCATGTTATGAGCATTCTTTATTACAACAGGTAACATTACCGTTCCGTTTCGCGGCGGGTTGCCTTTATCAAAGGCAGTCAAAACTAACTTTAAATCAGTCCCTTTTCCAAGGTCAAGTGGCTTAACAATATCGATTATGAAGTCATTCTGTTCTTCGTCTGAGCGTCGAATTCCAAAATTGCCCGTTTCGTTTCCCGATGTAATTTGCACCTCGTTTATTTCACCGGCTCTCCCGTTATCTTGATCGGAAATGCGAATAACCGCGTAACGAAAAATTGGTTTCCCCTGTACGACGTTTTCAAGCTGTGATACTACTTTGATCTTTGGCGAAAACCTGTTAACTGGTTGTACAGTGATAGTTATATTATGATTAAATTTCGTAGAAGTCGGTATTGAAGGGTGCAAAGAACGATCTCGCGCTGTGACAAAAAGTTGATAACTTCTTCTTTTTCTTCCGATCAGTGATCGAGTCAACGTGACAACACCAGAAACTGGGTCAATAGCGAAAAGAGAAGATTTTTCTGTGAAAGAGTAATAAAGCCATCCATTGGGGCCAATGTCTGCATCCGAAGCCACCACTTTAGCAACTGAAGTGTGTAAAGGGATGTCTTCATCTACCGTGACATGCTGAAAGTGACGATCAAAGATCGGTGGATTGTCATTGACATCTATAATGCTAACATTTACTTGAGTGCTATCAAACGTCGCTTTAGTGGTCGGATCTTGTGCCACAACAGTGAGCAAATGATTTCCAACACCTTCATAATTTAAGACTGTTGCTGTTTTAAGGTCCATAAAAACAAAATCTTTGACTCGTCTCGCGCTGACAGAATAGGTTCCTCCTTCGTTTCCCTCTGTGATCACAAATTGAACTTCGCGGCTCTCATCATGGGCATAAACTCCCATTTTCAAGTCACATTTTATATCAGACTGGGGCGACAAAAGTTCTTTTACTGTTCCTTGATAAATTCTATCACTGGTGAATTTAATGTCTTTCTTATTAGGCGAACGAAATTCCATTGAATAGGTTGGTTTAACGTCCAAGATTTGAGAAATAGGACGGCCTTGCCGCCCGCGCCTGTCAATCTCTTCAAAAGAAAATTGTTTATTACTTTCCAAACTTTCTTCTTCTCCTAAAAGTTCTTTACCATAGGTGTCCACTGGATAACAAAGTAAGACGAGCAAGGTCAAAAGCGAAGTTAACTGCATTTTGTGCTTGATGGATGCGTTTCACCTGGGTGAAAGAAAAAAGGAAAACAATTACGGCGAAAACATGACAAGTAAAAAGCAATTAATGGTCGTGATTTGTTTAGTCGGGAAGTTGTTTTTACCACTTAATGGTCAATTCATCCACTGACTTATTATCCATTTGCTCCCTTTTCACGCAATAAAACGACGGAATTCGATTCATTTGAAGTTGTACAAGTCGCGTTGTGGGCATGCCTTCATCGGTTCTAGAAAACCGACTTGAATGTCTCATGCGTTGAGTGACTAAAGAAATAGATAAAGGTCCCTTGGGACATTGAAAACACTACAGGGCGTCTAACGGACAGGAAATGTGACAATCTAATTGACACCATCTCCATAGAGACCAGCTATTCCAATGCTAATTTCTGAAGGAATGTAATATTATTCTCCGAAAATATACTACATCGAAATTAATATTCTACGAAGTCTCGTTTTGGTTTTAATATATCTTGATAGAGAATCACTTGATTTGTGCTATGTGTGTTTTATTTAATGTTTATGAAAATCTAAATAGTGAAAACTCATCCAAAATTCACGCGAATTCTTTAAGTAGCTCTAATATCTTTATGAAGTGTCAACATTTTGTCAGTTTATAGCGATTTGTGGTTTTTACTTGCGTGACATCATGCAATCATTGTTTTTTTAAGCCAATTATTTTGAAGGTCCTACCCCCAGAGGAGAAAAGGTGTCAGTCGCTGACCGCATGAAACAACGGAAAAACAATGAAGTTTATAGTCAACAACCGCTCTTTTAACCACAAAATTCCTTTTCACGTGACTTCAAAAAAGTGCATTGTCCGGGCGAATCATCCTTGAACAATTAAAAGTATTACTCATTCATTGAACAAATAGATATAGCGATAACAATGGCCTAAAACTCTCTTGAAATTCTGCCCACTCACGCATCTGCATTGGCAACTCTTTCATGTTTTCGTGATGTGAAAGGAATTCTAAAGGAAGGCTTTGTGGTGATTAATCCCATAGGGTACAAAAACGTTCATCATTGGTTGAGAATATTTCCTGCTGGAAGGGTCCTAGATGACTTACTTCAGATTAAATTGATTATATACTACCTCAACGTTTTACAGGAATATTTGTTTGTTTCTCTTGAAACAGACTAGACGGGGATAACAGATGAATAATGATCAAGAAAAACCACAAAAATTCGTATGGTGCTATCCTTTGAGATGGAAATGAACACATTACTTGCAACCTCTTTTTCGTAATTGAGAGGCTCGATCATTATATCTAGTTTTGCAAATATCATAAACGACTTTCCAAATTGTGAATTTGATGCGAGTCGCTAGTCGCGGAAGCACCAAAAATAGTTATCTATCGTAAATCAAATATATCACCGGGGATGCTTTCGAGGAGGACTGAAGTACATGTACGTGCTAAATATACACTTCATTTCACAGCGACGGGAAGTCTACCGCATGAACACAACAGATTGAAATAAGAAACAGATTACCGTGCCTTTCATACACACGAAAAATTGTTCCTGCTGTCAGTTTATTTTAACCAGATTATAAAGGCACTGTGTTTAAAGTGGGCTTAAACCTGCGGCAGGGCCAGTTGGTTTATCTTATAGCTCACAGTCATTGTAAGCTCATTACAGATTAGTTGAGGGTTACGCCTTCGCGTCGTCATATATAAGCTACTACCTGACAATGTATCTTAATATTCTTTTTCTTCGTAGGATTTCACTCCCTACTTATTTAACCAGGATTTAACTGGGTTTTCTAGAACTGTGATAGAATCTTGTTCAGTTGGAATGGCCACAAAAATGCCTCTGATCTTTTAGAAAACAGCTTAACTATATTTTCTTTTTCCACCCTCTTTTCTGGTTATATTGCACAACCCGGCGGTACCAAAGGTTTTGAGTGCAGTCTACATTCCACAAGTTGGTTACAATATTCGTTTGTTTGCGGATGACCTGCCCGTGATCGTGTTCCATCTGAATGATTGTCTGCGGTAGTATTTGAATCTTTTACCCATCCCGCCCCCCTTTTTCTTTAATTTGGTCCTTATCTGAAGCCCATGCACACAGCCACACGACTTTTGAATGCGTCAAATATGAGGGTTTTAATATATAAAATCAGACGATGACCATATGATAAACTCATGGATTCAGTTTTTGTTGCTGTTCAATATTGGAGTTTAAACCGACAAGTTAGGCCTTGTTCAAAACTGCGGACTGTTGAAATGAAAACAAAAGAAAACCAAAACAAAACACACATTTGTTATGAGCCCTACTTACCTTATTGGTACTTAATTTCGTCGGTCTAAAAAATCGCTGAATTAAAGACCCGTGATAAAAAAAAGAGAAAAAATTGAAAAATTCAAATCACAGAAAAAATGTTTCACATGTAATAACAAAAACCAAGAGCCATAATATTATGGCTCTTGCAAAAACATATAACTACACAAATTACTCTTGTTGTGAAATAGCGCTTATTTGCAAAGATTCACAGATTGCTTGTTGTTGAGTTAATCTAGAAATTTAAAAAAAAATTTAGACTTTTTGAAAAATAGACTCAAGTTGAGAAAGCTTGAATCGCTAATTTTAAAGCCCTTCTTTTTATTTGCCTATTGAAATTGCGAAAATAAAGCCCGCGAAAACCCCGCGTCAAAATCGCCAAATTAAGTACCCACGAAATAAAGTGCCAATAAAAGTAGATTACTTTTCGTTAGGTACGTTTCCTTAGAATTGTTTCTGCTCTCTCATGGATTCAAGATCATAACATTTGAAAGCTGGAGAGATTTTTACAAAGTCATGTTTTTGAAAAGGGGCCGTATATTAGTCTGAAAAGATTTCAACAACCAAGTTCGACTGTCAATATCATTTAAACTTGCACTTTCTTACTTCTCGTAAAACATGAAGAATCGAAGAGTTCTGGCTAGGTGATCTCAATTTGAGTGTCTTTTTCTCAGTTGACTCATGTTTGTGCAGTCAGCTGACCACAAAGACATGAGCTGCTTACGAAGAAGAAAACCAAAATGATAACATCATACAGTTTTTTTACTAGTGACACAATTCATTCAAATTTTACAAGAAGTAAGAAAGTGCCGGCATGAGGTGAAATGATATTGACTGTCGAAGTTGGTGATTACATTGAAATTCCAGACTAATAAGAATCGTTCCATCAATTAAATTTTATGACATGGAATTGATGGTAGAGAACTAACAGTTGTTATTAACCTTAGGGGTATCTCTGTTGGCTCTTGGAAAAACTAATGAGAAGTCGGGGAATAACTAGAGCAACTCGCACATTCAGCGTCTTCAGTCTTTCAAGATTTAATAATCTTAAAAGATACTGTAATTAAACATCATCGATTTAATTTTTCAAAAGATGCTACAGTGAATATTTTGTCTTCAGCAGTTGGGCTCTCTCTTCTGATTTTACGTTTGGTCAATGTCGATTCCAAAATATCCATCAGACAGGCAGACAAACAGAACCTGGCCCTATTTTAAAGCCTTTTCAGAAAACGATAAGGTTGTCTTGAGAAAATAAGTTATTCTTCTCTAGTAAAGCCTTTTTTGTGAATTACCTTGTTATTTAACCATTTAATACCTAAACTGACTGAATGACGAAGACTAAACTGACTACTTCAAAGTTTTAGGGCGTGGCGATGGTCCACTCCGGCGACCTCAAGATGTTTTCAAGAAACGCCGACCATCAATTACGACCAGATCCAATTAGAACAAGGCTATTAAAGTTCTACTTCCCCTTGTTCTGTTCAAAGAATTACTATAATACGAGTTTTTCCTCAATTGAAAGGAGCTGACAAACATCCATTCAGATGATGAATAGATGGAATACAAACGCCTGAGGGCTCAATCGTTGTCTATTAAATAACTTTTTTTGGAACTGTTACAGTAGCATCTGGTTGGGCATGTAGAGCCTATTTATAGGCCCACTTTGTGGTAATTAAAGATAATAATTTTCCACACATAAGCCACGCCTTTATATAGTCTTGTGTAATACAGGTTCTTCAACGGCTCCAATCAACCTTGTTTCATAATTAAACCTGGAAAAGTAATCCGGCTATACTGCGAGTAGACTGCGGAACTAGTACTGCGATGATTTTTATCAAGCTCGCGTTATTAAATGCCCGTTAATAACCTCATAGCCACCGCAGCATGCTAAAAAAGTTACAAGTGAAATGGGTCACGATTTTACTCTTTATCGCGAATTACATTTATCGTTGAACCATTAATTATCTAACCCTTCAAACTTACTTTCTTTCGAATGGACCTGACTTCAAATTTTCATAGGCAAGATCAAATGAAGTCATTAATCTTTTTTGTAAATGACGTGGTTCTCCCGTGTTATTACAAGAGGAGGAAATCTGGGGAACTTCAAAACAAATGTCAAATTAGTTCTACTTTAAATCTCACAGAACATGGAGAAAAACGAAGCGAAATTTACCCGAACCGGTCTTTTAGGCTAATAGTGAGCATCAGATGAACAGACAGTGTTTAAAAAGAAAAGGTCAGTCCAAACGAGGCATTATGGGAAAGAAGGGTCAAGAGCAAATCACAAGACTGATCATGAGTGGAAAATGGGGGAGAATTGGCCACACCGTTTATTAATGAAAACTACAACCAAGATCACAATGGAGACCCTAGGGCAGAAAGAGAGGGCAGCATGACATTGAGTAGACTTAAGACATTTGGCACTGAAAGGGTTGAACTTGACTTAAAGAAGAGCTGATGTACAACTGAGCCAATACGGAGATGTAAGGTTGTTGATCTATGGCCGACTTAGGGTTAAGTGGCCTAACTGTAGAAAGCCGTTTTTAGTTCGAAAAGCAACTCCGGCGAAAAACTTAACTTTTCCACATTTTCACTTAGCCGTGTGAGCAAGCTTCTCTATAACCTGTCTCGTTTTCGGTCAGCTAGACCTCATATTTTTTTTAAAGCGATAAAATGATAAGTGATTAACTCACCTAAAAATCGCTGTACTGAATTTTCTACGTTACTGGTCAGCTAAACAACTCACATGTGATACTCTACTATACTTAGTCATGTGAATCTTGTACGCCATTAGGTATAATATGTAAAAAATTGCCCAGAAATTAAATGAAATAAAAACAGCTGACTTAAAGCTGATTAGAATTAACGTTAAAAAGTTAAAAGTTTTCATTATTCAGATCTCTCTAATTGTCAAATAAATCATCATTCTAAAACTCAAAGGTTCTCTTTTAAGTCTGTCAGTCATTATACACGTACGATGTTGTGAGAAATCTCTGTTCTCAAGGGGTAGTTTTACTGGTAAGGTTTTAGCTCTCGGGTAGCCGAGATTAAATATTTGTTACTTTAACATGAGAAAGACTTTTTTGCCTTTATCAAAAATGCCTGCTGGCTGTTTGTCCTGGTTGTGCACCGTTTTTGACATTAATGCCTCAGTTGAGACGACCTGGCAATACGGCGTGGCATTAGATCATGTCTACTTTTGAAACGAAAGCGGACATTCGAGTTATAGTTTTACACTTTTAATTAAGATAATTGAAAAAAGGAACTCTAAGAGCCCTACATTCCCTTATTAATTTGAAATTATTACCTTAATACAAGTGTTTTAATTTAAAAGGAGCTGACAAACATCCATTCAGTTAAATACTAATGAATATAAACGCCTGAGGGTCAGCTCTGCGTTTTTTGGCTTAACTAAACGGTTCGGCAAATTGGGTACCTTCCACTAGATTTACAAAGCCACCTGTTAGGGCATATTACCCCAATTTTATAGGGCCTGCTAGTGTCTTGTAATAGATAGAAATAATATTCCAGACATAGGCCATCTACCTTTTTCTAGTCTTTCCTGATAAAAGTTTTCGAACAGAAGCAAACACAATTTAAAATTGAAAACTGTAGGTGATGTAAGTTTATTATGCGAGTAGACTAGTTAAGTGCAATAATTGTTATCACGCTGTGTTTTAATGCCGGTTATAAGCGCCCCACATCTGGAAAATGTCAGATCTTTAATTATTATTATTGAACAAAAAAAAAGAACAAAACCAGATAAGGTTAACTCGTCTCTACTTTCCCTTTCAGAGGACTAAACAGTCATTCAGTCTACAACAGGAATATGGCAAGCTATATATAGCTAATCATATCGCACGGGTATGATTGAGTTTGTCGAGTGTGACAATATTATTGGACAAAAATCATGAAAAATTAAACTGCTGACTTAGTTGTTGTATGCAATAAATCGATAATAAAAGTTAACAGATTTTATCAGTCAAAGTCTGAATCACCTCAGTATTATCTCGTAAAAAATGAATTTTGATTTTAGACGAAATGATTATCTTTCACTTGACGGTCACACGCACAATAAAATTAATGAAAATACCTACTTTATGCTGGTTCAAGTTGCGTTGTCGAAATTTTTACATTGATGCATGCCACAATTTAATTCATGGCAACTTTTCAAAACGGACATTATATTAGTCTGCACTGGTTCGACTGTCAACATCCAAATATCAAGTCAACTAGCACCTTACTACTCGTAAAACATGGAGAATCGCACTGAAAAAAAAAACTGTTCAAGGTGATCAGTTAGGCCAGCGCCAAACGACGACCTTTTCATGAGTCGAACCAAACGTAGTGGGTTAAGTTCATGAAAGTTCGAAGTCTTGGGGCGGGTTAAGTTCGCCTGAATGAGTTTGGATCGTCCAACACGTTCTGTCCGTCTGCTTCAGATAGATATAACGTCTGAAGATCATCTCTGGCAAAAACATCGATCTTCACATGCGACGAACAAAACTGATAAATTAAAAATTTGTATGATAATGATCATTTAGGCTCGTTCGGGAGAAAATTTATTAAAATTGCTGTTTGGTCTGGTTCATTTGATTTGTTCGACGAGTCCTAAGTTCGAGGTCTAATCCAACAGGCGATCTTACCTTAATTTAGGTCGACCCAAATTAGAATTTGGTTCGTCTCATGAAAAGTTAGACGTTTGGCCGAGGCCTTAGAGTGATTTTTTCTCAGGTGACTCATGTTTATGCAGTCAGATGACTGCACACAAGATCTGAGCTACTTTCAAAGAAGAAAACCAAATTGATCACATTATACAGTCTTTTTTACTGGTGACACAATTCATTCAAATGTTACAAGAAGTAATGAAGACGCATAAGGTGAAATGGCATTAACCGTCGAAGTTTGTTATTACACTGAAATTCCAGACTATTAAAAATCTTTCCATTTCTCAAATTTTATGTCATTGTATCGACCGTTATCAACCTAAGGGGTATCTCTGTTAACTTGGAAAACCCAATGAGAATTCAAGGAGTAACATTGTAGCTCGAAATTTCGAAGCAACTCCTACACTCGACGTATTCAATCTTTGAAGAAAAGATACTTTAGTGAAACAAAATCCATATAAACTTTTCAAAAGATGCTACAGTGAATGCTCGTGTCCAGCCGTAGGGTTCTCTCTCATGATTTTACGTTAAGATAGCCTGCGATCATGCCCTCTCCCTTTATCTCTGTAATCTGTTTTTTTTTCCTCAAGCCAAAGGAGCAAAGAAGCAAACAAAATAACGCCTGATCCCAGGTTAACGTTAAGACCATGTCGATTCCTAACTTTTATCCTCCGTCAAGAAGACAAACAGAGCCTAAGCCGTTTCTTAACCCTCTTCAGAAAACGATACGATTGTCTTGACAAAATAAGTTACTCCTCTCTAGTAAAACCATTTTTTGCCAATTACCTTGTTATCTAATCATTTAATACCTAAACTGACTGAATGACCTAGACTAGACTGAACTGAAGACTTCAAAGGTTTAGGGCGTGGGAAGATCCACTCCCGCGACCTCAAGATGTTTCAGCAAAGAAAAGCCGACCATAAATTTAGGTGACCCTTTTACAACCAGATAATTAGAACAAGGTTATAAGAATTCTACTTCTCCTTGTTCAGAGCAAAGAATTATCCTAATACAATTTTGTTTCATTTGAAAAGAGCAGACAAACTTCCATTCAGATGATGAATAGATGGAATATAAACTCCTTGGAGCTCAATCGTTGTCTGTTCAATAAATGTTTTTGGAACCGTTACAGGCTTAACATCTGGTTGGGCATATCGCCCCTACATTTTATAGGCCCACTTTCTAGTAATTAAAAATTCCACTATTTGTTGAAATGTACCCACTCATCACTTTCTCATATAAGGGGTATCCTTTTGGAAAGCATATACTCGATAAACAGTAATTTTACGAACATGTCTTGCAAGGCACTGTTTTTATGTATCATGTCTATGTGCGATGAAAACATCATAAACCTCAATGCCTCTTATATTGAAAATATTCTAAATTGTTATGCATCGGAACTTTAATTAAACTTTCTCACCACACGAGTAGCGTAGAAGCCGTACATAGCTAAGTATTTTTTCTTTTATGATAATATTCATTTGCTCCTTTCTTTCTTACTTAACTTTTATTTTACTTTGTTTCATTTGTCATTGTATATTGATTGTTTTGGTACTGAAATCTTCATGTCGAAGATAAAGTCAATAAAGTAATTAAAAATAGTAACAATTTTCCACTTATTAGCCATGCCTTTATCTAGTCTTGAGTAATACTGGTTCTTCAACGGATCCAATCAACCTTACTTTATAATCAAGCTGACCTAGAAAACTAAGCCGACTATACTGCGAGTTAGCAGACTGCGGAATTAGTACTGCGATAATTAATTTTTATCAAGCCAGCGTTATGAAATTCCGGTTATTAACCTTCTTTCCCCATCACAGCATAATGGAAAAAGTTACAACTGAAAAGGGTTACAATTTTACCCGAATTACATTTATCGTAAAACCATTAATAGTTATCCAGGGACACCCAACGACTGTTTTCTGTAAAACACCTGTTCGGAGAAGCAAAAATTGCCTAGAACTTTCTATTAATAGCTTGGGGAAGGCTAAAAATTTCTAGATGACCGCTCCATTCATGTACAATTTTCGAAGGTCATCTTATAAATTCCCTAAGATTTCTGAACTAAATTTTTCGCGTTTTACTTCCCAGGTAGGCCATTTTTCGTTGAAAAAAAGGAAACCTAAAATTTTCGGATTCGAAAGTGCGATGGAGAGAGGAATAAGAAAAATCCTCACTTTCGTAAACCTTTAAAATTGCATCTAAATTTTCTAGAAAATAATAATGAAGCCCTTGTAACTTCGAAAGGACTCAAGTTGCCCTAGGATTACTGAACAGATACATATTTTATAGCGCCGCTTATAATGCATTTCTTGGGATCTAAAAGTACTCTGGAGAGCCTAAAGTGTTTTCAATGCCTGAGGAGGAAACCGTCGTTGGTTGCCCCTGTTTATCTAACCCTTCAAACTTACTTTCTTTCGAATGGGACCTGACTTCAAATTTCATAGATAGGATAATATGAACTTATCCAATTTTTTGTAAATGACTTGATCCTCCCGTGTTTCGTAAAAAAGAAAGCTGGGGATCTTGAACTCCAATGTCAAATCAGTTCTACTTTAAATCTCAGAGGACGTGGAAATAAACGAAGTGAACTTTACGAACTGGTCTTTGTCAACCAGTATCTTAGACAGATAATGAACATTAGATGAACGGACAGTGTCTGAAAAGACAATGTGGGCTAAACGAGGCATTATGGGAAAGATGGGTCAAGAGCAAATCACAAGACTGATCATGAGTGGAAAGTGGGAGAGAATTGGCCACACCGTTTATTAATGATTACTACAACCAAGATCACAAGGCAGACTCTCAAATGGAGCCCCCAGGGCAAGAGAAAGAGAGGGCAGCATGGATGAGTAGACTTAACATCTGGCGAAGGTTGAACTTGACTTGAAGAAGAGTATATGTGCAATTGAACTAGTATGGATATATAGGTCAAGACAGAAGAGATGGAGATGTAAGGTTGTTGATCCATGGCCTACTTGGGGTTCAGTGGCCTTTCTGATAAGGAAGTAAATGACTCGGTCCCAGCATGGAGAAAGTCGTTTTCAGTTGGAAAAGCAACCCGCAAAACTTCACTTTTCCAAATTTTTACTTAGCTGCGTAAGCAAGCTTCTCTATAACCTGTCTCGGTTTCGTTCAGCTAGACCCTATTTTTAAAAAAGTAATAAAGAGATAAGCGATTAATCCCTCTGAATATCTCTGTACTGAATTTTATACGTTATTGGACAGCTAAACAACATATATGTGATACGTAACTATACTTAGCCATCTTTTCCCCTGTTAGGTATAATGGGCAAAAAATTGCACAGAAATGAAATGAAATGAAAAACAGCTGACTAAAACCTGATTTGAGTTAACGTTAAAAAAAAGATAACAGTTGTTTTTAGACAAAGTTATCTAACTGTCAAAGAAATAGTTATTTTAACTCAAAGATTCTCTTTTAAAACTCCGTTCTCAAGGGGTACTTTCATGGCAATGTTTTTGTCCTAGGGAAGCCGAGATTGAATATTTCATACTTAAACATGAGAAAGAATTGTTTTCCTTTATCAAAAATGCCTGCTGGCTGTTTGTCCTGGTTTTGCACTGGTTTTGACATTAGTGCCTCAGTTGAGACTACCTGGCAATCCTGCGTGGCATTAGATCATGTCTACTTTTGAAACGAAACCAAACATTCGAGTTATAGTTTTACACTTGTAATTAAGATAATTGAGAAAAGGAACTCTAAAAGCTCTACTTTCCCTTATTGATTTCAAATTATGATCTTAATACAAGTATCTTACTTTAAAAGGAGCTGACAATCGTCCATTCAGTCAAGAAATATGAATATAAACGCCTGGGGGTCCGGTCCGCGTATTTTTGGCTTAACCGACGGTTCGGCAAATTCGGTACCATGCATATACAGATATACTTAATATTTACAAAGTCACCTGTTAGGCCATTGATTGCCCCAATTTTGTAGGTCTGCTGTCTTATTATAGATAAAAATAATATTCCAGATATAGGCCATCTACCTTTTTCTAGTCTTTACTGATAAACGTTTTGGAACAGAACCAAACACAATTTAAAATTGCAAACTATGTAGATGATGTAAGTTTATTATACGAGTAGACTGCTTAAGTGCAATAATTGTTATCACGCTGTGTTTTAATGCCCGTTATAAGCGCTCCACATCTGGAAAATAAGTCAAAAAAGTATTTTAAAACTGAAGGTAAGTTCCAAATTTAAAAACAAAAAAACCTTTCAACGGAAACGTTTACCACTTCACTTTTAATAACAAAACCTACTTCCTGATAAGGGACTGTAGCAAGTAAATGACTTGGTCGCACGGGAAAGCCGTTGTGCTGGATGTACAAGGATGCGGCAGCGCTTAAGCTAAACTTTTTTACTTTTACACATGTATCAGTGAACTTTTGTGTAGAACCTATCTATGCCAGATCTTTAACTATAAAGATAACAAAAGAAGAACGAAAACCAGTAGGATTAAATCGTCTCTACTTTCCTTCTCAGAGAACTAAACAGCCATTCTACAACAGGAATATGGCAAGTTATGTATAGCTAAACATACCGCACTTATTGGACAGAAATCATGAAAAATTAAACTGCTAACTTAGTTATTGTATTTAATAAAAGTTAACAGATTTTATCCGTCAAAGTAATAATTTCAGTATTAACTCGTAAAGAATGAATTCTGATTTTAGACGAAATGGTTATCTTTCACTTGACGGTCACACGTGCAATGAAATTAATGAAAATATCTGCTTTATGCTGCTTCACGTTGCGTTGTCGAAATTTTTGCATTGATGTCACAGTTAAATTCATGGCAACTTTTTGAAAACGGGCATTATATTAGTTTGCACTGATTTTAACAACCACGTATGACTGTCAATATCCGACTGAATATCATTTCAACTTGTATATTCTTACTCCTCGTGAAACATAGAGAATCGCATCGAGATACAAACCGCTCAAGGTGATCAGTAAGTTAGGCCAGGGCCAAACGACGACCTTTTCATGAGAGGAACCAAACTTAGTTAGTTAAGTTCATGAAAGTTCGACGTCTTGGGCCGGGTTAAGTTCGTCTGAATGAGTTTGGATCGTCCAACACATTCTATCCGTCAGCTTCACACGGATAGAACGTCTAAAGATCATCTCCGGGAAAAACGTCCATCGAAGGTGAAATACCATTGACCGTCGAAGTTTGTTATTACATTGAAATTCCAGACTATGAAAAATCTTTCCATCTCTCAAATTTTATGATACTGAATCGATCGTTATCAGCCTAAGAGGTATCTTTGTTGACTATTGGAAAAACCAATGAGAAGCGGGGGAATTACTAGAGCGACTCGTACATTCAGCGTCTTCAATCTTTTAAGATTTAAGTAAAAAGATACTTAATGAATAAAACATAATCGAGTTAAATTTTTCAAATGATGCTACAGTGAAGGCTTTGTCCTCAGCAGTTAGACCAGATCTCTTCTGATTTTACGTTTGGTCAATGTCGATTCCAAAATATCCTTCAGACTGGCAGACAAACAGAACCTGGCCCTATTTTAAAGCCTTTTCAGAAAACGATAAGATTATCTTGAGAAAATAAGTTACTTTTCTCTAGTAAAACCTTTTTGGCGAATTACCTTGTTATTTAACTATTTAAGACCTAAACTGACTGAATGACGAAGACTTCAAAGTTTTAGGGCGTGTAAGATCCACTCCGACGACCTCAAAGATGTTTCAGCAAATAAAAGCCGACCATAAATTCAGGTAACGCTTTTACAAACAGATATTAAGAACAAGGTTATTAGAGCTCTACTTCTCCCTGATCAGTTCAAAGAATTATCTTGATACAATATTTTTTCAATTGAAAGGAGCTGACAAACATCCATTCAGATGATGAATAGATGAAATATAAACTTCTGAGGGCTCAATTGTTGTCTGTTAAATAACTTTTTTTGGAACTGTTACAGTAACATCTGGTTGGGCACATCGAGCCTATTTATAGGTCCATATTCTGGTGATGAAAAATAATAATAATTTTCCACATACAAGCAGCGCCTTTATCTAGTCTTGAGTAATACAGGTTCTTCAACGGGTCCAATCAACCTTATTTTATAATCAAAACTAGAAAACTAAGCCGGCTATACTGCGAGTATACTGCGGAACTAGTACTGCGATAATTATTATCAAGCTAACGTTATTAAATGCCTGTTATTAACCTCCTCTCCACCACCGCGTGCTGGAAAAAGTTATAAATGAAATGGGTCACAATTTTACTCTTTATCTACATTTCGGTTGTTTATTAATGAGAACAGTTGTTCAAGAAATGTAAGTGCAATGTAAGTTGTAATTGTCATTACGGCCCTCAAGTTCATGAAATTTGAGCCTGCAAGGTTTTAGCTTGGCTTGAAGAAGAGCTAGCTAGTATGGAGATATAGGTCAAAATAGAAGAGACGAAGATGTAAGGTGGTTGATCCATGGCCTACTTAGGGCCGTAGCTAGGTGGCCTAACTGATAAGGAAGTAAACGACTCGGTCCCACGTAGAAAGCCGTTTTCAGTTGTAAAGGCAACCAGCAAAACTTAACTTTTCCACATCAGTTTTCACCTAGCTGTGTGAGCAAGCTTCTGTATAACCTGTCTCGTTTTGGTTCAGCAAGACCTTAGTTTTAAAAACGCAATAAAATGATATCTGATTAACTCTTCTAATCAGCTCTGTACTAAATTTTCTACGTTATCAGTCAGCTAAACAACATACATGTGATACGATACAATACTTAGCCACGGGCATCTTGTCTGCAAATAGGTAAAAAATTGCGCAGAAATGAAATGAAACGAAAAAGAGCTGACTTAAAACTGATTGGAGTTAACGATAAAAAGAAGATAAAAGTTTTTGCCAGTCAGAGTTATCTAATTTTCAAAGAATTACTTACTTCAACTCAAAGATTCTCTCTTAAGACTGTCGGTCATCATACACGTACGACGTTGTGAGAAAACTCCGTTCGCAAGGGGTAGCTTTATGGTAAGGTTTTAGTTCCGGGGAACCGAGATTCAACAAGTTGAATATTTGTTACTTTAACATGAAAAATAATGGTGATCTTTACCTTTATCAAAAATGCCTGCTAGCTCTTTGTCCAGGTTGTGCACCGTTTTTGACATTAGTGCCTCAGTTGAGACTACCTGGCAATCCTGCGTGGCATTAGATCATGCCTACTTTTCAAAGAAGAGCAAATATTCGAGTTATACTTTTACACTTTTAATTAAGGTAATTGAGAAAGAGAACTCTAAGAGCTCTACATTTCCTTATTATTTTCTAATCATCGTCTTAATACGAGTATTTTAATTTCTAAGGAGCTGACAAACATCCATTCAGTCAAGAAATACATGAATATAAAACGCCTGAGGGTCCGCTCCGCGTTTTTTTTGGCTTAACTTAACGGTTCGGAATATTGGGTACCTGCTACTAGATTTAAAAGCCACCTGTTACGACATATTACCCCAATTTTATAGGGCCCGCCGTCTTGTTACAGATAAAAATAATACTCCAGCCATAGGCCATCTACCTTTTTCTAGTCTTTACTGATAAAAGTTTTTGAACAGAACCAAGCACAATTTAAAATTGACAACTTTGTAGGTAAAGTAAATTTATAATGCGAGTAGACTGCTTAAGTGCAATAAATTAATTGTTAGCAAGCTGTACTTTAATGCCGGTTATAAGATGGCTCGACCCAGCATTTTTAGAGGCACACCCTCCACCTTTGAATCTCTTATACTTAAAGAAGAAATCTATCTGTATTGTAAAACGATTAAGACACATGGATTACACTTACACTAAACTTTATTATAGTATTATTTTTTGGGCGATCGGAATAAATGTCACGTGGCAATGACGTCAAAATGGTTTAAGCTCTAAATCGAATTTCAGCCCTGTTCGCCACGGCACTTTCTTTCGAAATGCTCTACGCCACGTATTCTATGGATAAATGTCTTCTGCTGTGCGAAGTTTCACAAAAATCTATAAGAGAAATTTGGAGATATCTTGGAATTTCTATAAAAAGGGTATAAATTATGCATGCGCATAGACCCTGCATGCACTGAAGATAGGACTTAATGCAGACAAATTTGCTACTTTTTGGATGTTTCCGAAAAAGGTTTCATCACTTATTCGTTTAGCAAATGACCCTTATACACTCTAGAAACCGCTGAACGCAAGTACACCTACGCGATTTCGAAACACATGAAAACGGGTAAAACGCAATGCTGAGCTCTTTTTGTAATTTCTTAGGCTACTTTCACGAAAACAGCGATTAAAGCAAAATTCGTCGATAGATTTTTTTAAAACCTTTTTTAGTGCATTAATTGATTCGTGTACCATTGCATCCTCGAATCTCGTGTCGATTGAAAACTTCTAAAGTTGTCTAACACTGGCGTAAAAGTGAGTAAATATTGAAGCGATGTCATATATCTGGCTAAGTTTTTGCTCTGGGGCTTCATAATGTCTCGAGTTTAGCACAACATCAAATTCCCATGCCTTACGCGAGAATTTACAACGCTGGGTTCGGATTGTGTCCCAAAGTACACACTTATCCAAAGAATATGTAGCGTAAAGCATTTGAAAAGAAAATAGATATTAACTTCTGTATGAATTAATATTAACCAATTCAGCGCTAAAACCATTGCGACGTCATTGCTACGTGACATTTATTCCGATCGCCCAAAAAATAATACCAATATAGAGTTTAGTTTAAGTGTAATCCAAATGTCTTAATCGTTTTACAATACAGACCGATTTGTATGAGTATAAAGCGATTCAAAGATGGAAGGTGTGTCTATAAAAATACTGGGTCGAGCCACCTTGTAAGCGCCCCACATCTAGAAAATATGTTATAAATTATTTTTAAATGTAAGTTCCAAAAATCCCAAGAAAAAAATTTCAACGCAAACATTTACCACTTCACTTTTAGTAACCAAACCTGCTCCCTACTAAGAGCCTATAGGTAGTAAATAACTTGGTCGCATGAAAAAAAAAAATGGGGAGAAAATTGGCAAATAAAGGAGTGGAACGGCATAAAAATTCGGCGAGGGAAGCCGCCATCCTATCCCCTCCCCAGACTGCCGCTCTGCCCGCCGCTTCGCTCACCGATTCTTTTTTCGCCTTTTTCGCCAACTGCGGAGCTTGGTCCCTGGCTATTTTTACTTTTACGTCTGTATCAGTGAACTTTTGTGTAGAATCTGTCTATGTCAGGTCTTCAATTATTATTGCACGAAAAAAAGGAAAAAAAGCAGCTGAAAAAATATATATTTTGGGCAGTCATCTGAGAAAGATAATCATCCCGGTCCCCTTCAACAGCAAGGCTTTTGTCATGACTTCTCCAGAAATTTGAGACGAGCTGAGCGTTACTTGGCAGATTACGTAGAGGTTTTTTTTTAGTTTTGTCGTCTCAGGGGCCTCCAATTTTAAACATTCGTTCACTTTTCATGAACCTGTGCTGGACTTGGCTTGCTTATGTGAGAGCTTCCTGGTCGAGTCTCCTGTTTTGTATCTAGCCTTCTTTAAAACTATTTTAGGTGCTTTATTCGGGACTCTTGGTCTTCCCCTTCGTAAGGTTTCTTGCCTTCAAAACCTTTATTACTCCATGATCATTTTACCACCCAACATTCGGATTTTCCCAGTTTTTTTAGCAGTTATTACAACAGATAAGCCAGCAAATCGAAGTATACATGCTTATGCTCTCACGTAGCGGAACGTTTTTGTGAAAAGGGGGTTCATCTTTCATGATATTAACAAAATACAAGGAAGGAATTTGAGCAATTCGGACTATAAAATACACAAAATATTTGGCTGGAAAATACTCGCGCACGCGCACCTTTGGCGCGGAAGTACACAAATCGAATATTCGAGTCAAAAGTTGGCACAACAAGTATGAAATTAGTGAATTAGATTGAAAGACACAACTTTTGTTTAAATGATATGCTTACCAAGTCCAATCATACTGAAATACGGACTTATAAAGTAGAGGACACCCTGTATATATAGCTAATCACATCGCACGGGTAGGATTGAGTTTGTCGAATGTGACAATATATTGGACAGAAATGAAAAATTAAACAGCTGACTTATTACTGTATGTAACAAAAGTTAAGAGATGTTATCAGTCAAAGTAATCACTTCAGTATTATCTCGTAAATAATGAACTCTGATTTTTTAGACGAAATGACTTGACGGTCACACGAGCAATAAAATTAATAAAAATACCTACTTTATGTTGGTTTACGTTGCGTTGTCGAAATTTTTGCATTGATGCCTCAATTAAGACTAACTGGTAATCCGGCCATTAGACAGCGTCTACTTCAATTTGAAAAGAAAAGCCGACATTCCAAGCCATATTTTCACACCAGTTAGCCTGATTAACAGAGGGAACTCAGAACCCACTCACAGTTCAACTTTCCCTTACAATCCACTTTGAACAATTACCTTTATACTTCCCTACAAAGAAGCTGACAACATCCATTAAATGATGAATGTTAAACGCCTGAGGGTCCGCTCGTTTTTGGCTTTTATATAGCGTCTGCTAATTGGGTACTGACCTACTTATAGACTGACACAGACATCAAGAGATTCTGTCCAATAAAGCACTTAAACATATGAAAAAATGCCAAGGTAAGCGAGCTACTGATACTTGACGACGAGAAAATGCGAATTACTTCAATAATTGAAAGTCAAGAATATAAATTTCACCTCTATAGCTTAGACGACAAAATTCAAGGAGCTTAATTGTTAGGTAAAAACGTAGCTTTCTAGTAATTAACAAAATTTCCAGATATAATTTCTTGAGCGGAAACAGACAAACTTTTCTACTAAGAGTAAGAAAACTATAATGCAACTTTACTGAATAACGTTGGTTACTTTATCGTGCTGTTAAAATTCCGTTGGTTACCTGACTGCCCCCAGCATCCCCGGATATAGCCGCCCCATTTTGAACTTAGTCCACCCTAGAACTCCGTGCCCCTTGCAAGCCCCGGAGCTGGAAGTTCATCACCACGTGCATTGTATCCGATCCGCTTTGAAAGGTTCAATTCATTTAGATTATTATTTTACACAAAAAAAACTTATAACTCAGTAAAGACGAACTCAAAATAACGACAGCGCTAGTAAAGCGCGCTCAAATGGCAGGAGAGAGGATATCGAGAGAAAACATAAAAACGACACAGGGATTTCTGCACTGCATTCTGTTTCGCAATGATCATGAAAACTTACTAGAAATTTTACTGAAACAACATCATAGTTCGATGTTGCGGCACACAAGATAAGGCGAGAACAACAACAAAAAAAGCAAGGAATTCCCATAAATTTCTCATTGCACAACATAAATAGCAACTGAGTAGCAAAAAGTTAATGAGGAATTTTCATTTGAATCGTAGAATTTCATGCTGACCAGTACTAGGTCTTTAAAAAGTGAACCGAAGTTGTTTCGGCTGGCTTTGGATAAGATTTACCGTTGGAAAATTAAGATGACGCAACTGTCAAGACTTCGTTAGAAATACGAATATCCCAAGAATGATGGATGAAAGGAAACGAGAAACAAATTTGTTGATTGAAAGCTAAGTTAGTAGTCACTTCTGTTTCAACTGATAAGAAAGTGATACTACACTAATATTAAGGCACATATCATGTTAAAGAACCTATACTTATGATGTTTATTTTTCTTGTCATCTAAAACTTGAAAAATAAATCATAATCAATAATTCATCCAGAACCGGCCCGATAAATTCAACGTGTTCCTGCCAAACGGAATGTGTTGAATCAGCTTATTTCATCGCGAGTTTCTCAATAAACACCTAAACTGGTATCAGAATTTCAGATTTGCTGATAACGATGCGTGTTGCTCCAAATATTAGGTAATGATAGCCCTGGGATTTATATTGCCCTTCTTTGTTGCAATATAAGCAGTTTTCGGTCCAGAATGTTCCGCAATAAGTGAAGCTCGTTAATAATTCAGCCTGCTTGTATAACCTTTGATCAGCATAACCATAACCAACATTTATCTGACTTATGTACGGGTTGAAACAGAATTACACAAGAACCGAAATAGCAAATGCACATGTATTGAACAAGCGATGCGAAGAGGAAGAAAGTAATGAAAAGAGAAAAGAAAATAATTCACCAAGACTTACCCTGGTTGTGTCCTTAAAGTTTACCAGGCCTTACGGAATTCTTACTCGCAAAAACGCGGCTCTGGAGTTTTAACAAGACTCTTTAGCTTCCTCTATAAAACTGTTTGATTTCATTGACGAGGCATTGTCGACAGATAGGGTAAACTTTTTACAACTTCGCAACAAGCTGAACGGTGAAATGACGTCCTCGAACGGTCTCCGTGTAATGGCCGGAATTCTTGTAAAGATTCAATATCGAGGAATTCAAGACGTTTGTATACCTGCGGTTAAGATTGGTGAACCGTGTTAAAAAAAATTTCTTACGCCGCAAAGTTCATAGATGACCTGATCCTAGTCATGAATATTCAATACGGCGGTGTCCGAGAGATGTATAATTCTTAGCTCTCGCTGTAGGACATCAATCACAATGATTGTCTTGAACTTTTCTTGCTATTAACCGGTGGCGAGCTTTATTGAAAAAACTGGTTATCCGCTTGAAGGGGAGCAAGCCTGCGGATCGAAACATATTGCTTCGAGGTGTAAGAAGTGGAAACAAAAAATATTGAAAACTAGAGGCAAGGTATTCAAGAACCAGTGGTTTCCTGCTCCACGCAAAAATCTACAACGTTTGAATCAACTGCTAATCAGAGTAATTAAAATCATTTTAAGAAGCCGCTACGAAGAAAAGAAACTTGTGAGTAATTAATTTTAAATACATTTGCATGACAAATGTAGCTAGTTTTCTTTTTTGCTCTACAGTCGGTCTTTTGGTTGCAAATTAATCTCGGCCTTTGTTGTAGTGCAAGACAAACATTCGGCGAATAGAAAGATTAACCCTCCACTGTAGACACAAAGAATCTTTATCAGTCGAACTAAAAGTTTATAAGTATGTCACGTCCGCGCGACTTTAAATTCAACACGTAACAAAGGGAGTATTTGACAAAAGGTTTTAAACTTTATCTGAAATATATGACCAATATTTTTTATCTGAGCTCGGCATTTAACTATCGAGTTTTCACAAACCTAAACCATTAATACCATACAACGATTTGTAAAATCACTGACTGAAAAATTGTACCATCCTTATAGAGCGATGAACATAAAGCAATAAAATACTGGACAATTTTCGTATAGGTTTTTGTAAGAGAGGATCCTCCCTTAGTTATGGCAACCAGGAAATCAAAGAAATAAAGCTAATTTTAGTTTGTTAACAATATAGACATACAAAGGAAGGCCCATCTGAAAAATATCACGGATAAAAGCACGCCATATACCCCGTTATTGACTCAAGAATTGTCAGCAAATGTACACTTTACCCCTTTCTCAATAGTTCTTTGCACAATGGGTACAGAGGAGGATTTAGGTTTTGACACTAGTCGAAGTCGAAGTTCCGGTTTCAACTCACTTCAAGATTTTACTCAATTTGAAAGGTTTTTTTCTTTGAGAAAGAACTGTTTTATTTACATTATTGGTATCGAATAGTGTTTTATCAATATATATAAAGGAATTTACACCTTTTAAAAAGGTTTTCTATATGGTCAGAAAAACTGTTAAGCCATTTGAAAGTCTCGTTAAACAATAAAGTTCATTTGCATAGGAAACACTTTTTGCCGACTACTTTACTTGGCAAAACAGAATTAAATCAACAAACGCTTCCTTCTTCAAATTTTAATAGATGCTGAAAATATTGGAACATTCCATGCGTTTTACGCCAGATCACAAGTTAACAGTTGCTGAACACATAAACCCCAGGAGGCAGAAAAACTAATCATATTACCACAAGAACTGGCGCGAATGACATCTTGTCCTTCGGTTCAGTTTACTGTATTTTAAAAGCTTTGGGGGCCCCGAAGGGGGGGGTGATCCTTTTTTGGGGCGCCAAAGAGTTTTTTTTTATTTTTGTAGTTTTTTTTTTTTTTAAAAGAAAACGTTTTGGTGTGAAAATGGGTATAGACTGCAACCGTTTGCGCTTGAAATAGAGTGAGATTCCGTGCTCTCTTTAAGCAGGGTTTGAAACTGAAGGTCGGAATTGGCTCTTGTCGACTCTTGATAGCAGCATTTCAGACCGAAAATTGTGAAATTGGGTGGGAAAATTCACGTATTTCGGCATGAAATAGGCTAAGGTTTTCAGAAGGAAAGACGCACCCCCCCCCCCACCACAAAAAAGCTAAATTGTTTAGAAGCACCTTCCAACGCCGAGAAGTAAGCTGACAATTCTTATCTCTGGTATAAGTAATAATAATAAAAATAATAAACATCATGAAATAGACAGATCGGTTAGATAAAACAATTAACGTCTGATGAACCGTCCATTTATTACTGAGTTATGTATAATATGATCAAATGGGATGACAGATGAAGTCAATGTACTGTGGTGCTGTTTCATAGCTGAAAGTTGTGCTCAATGTGATTGTCCTTTATGCAATTAAACGCTCAAGTTCTTTCTAACTACATCTTTGAACTAAAACGTTTTTGGCAATCACAAGAGCAGATAGCAGGAATTACTGGCTAGACTTCTGACTAATTAAACAGAGGAATGCAATAACCTTTCACTGATGGGCACTCAAAACAAATTTAGAAATATGAATTGGATATGATTATTGATCATCTCTCTCTTGTTTCTCTTTCGAAATCAAGTCCTTTCGAGTTCTATAGTTTTTTAATCGATAGTAAAAAGTTGAGTAGAGAGACTAATGCTTTTCTATCTTTTTCTGTACGACAAGGTAAACTGTTTACACTTACCGCTATCAGCGCTGTTATCTCAGGGCTGCCAGTCTGAAAACCTCATCACTTGAGTCACTCGATCATATGAAGTCTTTTATGAAATCTTTGTCCTAACTTGCATGCGCACAATAATATATGAAGCCTCAAATACCCGTACTGCTTTCACCAGCCAAATCCTCGTGCCGATCACTGTATAAGCTTATATAACCGGAATCACATTGCTCCTTGAAACCTGTCGCTCTTCATTACCGAGCACCGTAAAAGTGTTACATCAACTCTTGTACCCAAGTTACTATCAGGCAAACAGTTGCAGGATAGTGCCTTGTAATTCGCTAGCTCAGCGACTTTTACCAAACACTAGAGGGAGTCCCAATATACTAGATATGCTTCCTTGCGCTTGATAACCTCGAAACAAAAGGTTGGTCGCCCCCGCAATTCAGATTGCTTCAATTCCTGCGGCGGTAGGTAGCTTCCGGTTGAAAGGACCAGCAAACATCCGGTGATATGGTTAATAGTTATGAGACTTAAAAGGTCGCAAAATCTGTTAGTTTTGAAACTTAACTATACCAATGTAGGAAGATGAAACACGCCAAATTTCTCTAGCTTGGAGCATTAATAACGACGTGTCCCTCTTAGACCAGGCCTGCTCTTAGACACAACGTATGTTTTCTGTCTTTTCTCACCGGCTGTGACAATTGTCTCAGGTTTCTTAACTTTTTATCTCCTCGCCTCGATTTGCATATCGTTTGGATGAAATTGACCTCGAAATGATGTGCTCAAAATAGTATTAGATCGCACGAATTTTTTTACCTTTACAATGTACAATCGCAACATCTATCAATTCCAAGTGCGGTAGCTATGGTTTTCTTTTGAAGGGTTTCATATCTACTTTCATCTAAACAAGCTTTGTAAAAAGTACAAGTGTTCAGACGCGTGGCATAATTAGTTTCCTGTTCTCGTGATTCCCGCCGATTTTAGGCATACTGTAGATGACCTTGGTATTTGACTGAACAGTCGGAGTTATGACACAGATTTTCAAGAGCACAAATGCTTACTGTGGAAAGACGGAAGATCTTTCTTTCGTTCCTCTTTGTTTTTCAACTCACCCTCTTTCTCGTATGTTTCCTCTTCTGTTTTGGGTTACGCCTGCGCGGGCCTCAGTATTCCCTTCTACATATACAAAGCCTTTTTTAAAATGAATTGAGTCGAGATGAGGTTGTGACACACAGGCCCCAGTAAATTATGCGCTAAAGCGAACCGAGTGCATTAAAATCTTTCTTGGCCCTCCAATAACCTAAAACACCAAACCTAGCCTGGGGTCCTTCAAAATGTGAAATGTGACGAGTTATTTGGTTCAAAAACCCCTGAAAAACAAACTTTTGCTCAATATCTAACCGTTCGTTGACAGCCTTAAATTCAAAGCCCACTGAACAAAAAAATAGTCAATTGCTTGTTCTTCAACCTATGAACAGGATCTCGGCTATTGAGGGTGAGAAGGCCTCGAATGCAAAAAGCAAACGGGAACGCCTTTTGCCCTCAATTTTCCCCTCGGCTTGCGGAAATGCGTCTGCTGTTCGCAGGCTACTCGACTCGCATCCCTGCTCGCGGCCTTTTTTCCCAATCCTATGCAGGAGGTCTGTTTATGAAAAGATATTTTGGTGGGAAAAGAAGCGACTCCTAGACATCGTATCGCGTGGCGGCTAACACGGAAGTGAGTTTCTTGTCTATCTTCTGGTCAGCTTTGAGCTAAACCCTTCCCAGCACATCATCAGTTTCGACCTTTTCATTTTTTTTTTAAAGTATTGTCAGTTGCCTGAAAACCTGTCAGAAGATAGTTTGTTTCTACACTGAGTTATTACATATCTTTACAGTTTATTGTACAGTTTTTCATTTCTCAGAGTGACCCGAGTAAAATGAGTCTGTTATTCACTGATCTGTCATGGGTCAGTGGACAAAGAAAATTACCTGCGAAGGATCCACACCACAAAATTCCTCGCGTTGAGCAAAAAAAAACTCTGCTTTTTTTGTTATCAAGACAGTTACTTTTGGCATCGGCTGGCTTTGTCAGGGATTTACTAGATTTAACATATAACCTCTAAAATGTGTTTAAGTTAAAAATCATTTTTGCTACAATTGGACAATAAGTTGGTCTATAAATGACTATTTAATCAGGTTTTTTTTTTGCGTTGAAAACTTTGGTTTAAACCAAGAGAGGATATCCTCTGTTGGTTTGAACTCATGACGTAACATGAGCCTATAAGACCTCAGAAACGGCTGTAAAACGGTGCCGTATAAAAACATGCAGCAAGCTGTTCACAAGTGACAACAAAACGGGAATTCTTCCAAAAAGTAATGGAAACGCCGGCAAGATTTTTAAAATTCCTTTTTTTTTAGTCTGTTTCCTTCTTTTCAATTCACGGTTCAGGGTTCCTTGCTCTAGATGCCCGACTCTTGTTCGCTTGCACAGTTCCAATTCTTCAATTAATCCTTGTAGACAAAACTTTTTAATCTGTGTGTGTTAAAAAAGAAGACTTCCCCTTGAAAAGGTCCCCCGGCACGGATTAAGAATCAGCAGAAACAAAACAGGAAAAACGAAGCACAACTCTAAATCTGTTATTTCAGAACTTTCTCGACACGTTCTGTACAAACAATGAGGAATGTGCCAAGTTACGCTCTATCTTCTGACGACTTGATTATCCAATTACCCTCATAAATTACACCATTAATATGTTTATTCAAAATATTACTACTAAACCAGAAGGGAAAACCGATGATGGCAACACGATCAGAACAGTTCTTCTCTTCTAAGATTAGATAGCCGCTAACGCAGTTTGTAGGCGATTACGTGATCTCAGCAATAAGATTGCCGACACTTTACAGCCTAGTTTTGTGAGCAAAAAATTCGAGCACGGTCTTAAGCCAAAAGAAATTAAGCTGAGTATTGTAAGTCAGCATTGCGTTGTTTAAAATTTGCATGTGATCTGTGTGATGCCGATTATTTTGGCTACACAGCCCTGGTGACACCTTCCGTCATCTTATTGCTGTATTCAGCTATCGGTAAACATTTTTAGAAGCTCACGGTGACAAAAATATTCTTAATGAGGGCCAATTTCGTGTTCTCAAGAAGTGCCACGGCCAAATTTGACTGCCTCATTTATGAAATGCTACCGCATCAAAGAACTGACGCCTAGCCTTAACACACAGAGTGACTCCATCAGTGCCGCTAAACTCTTATAACTTGTAACATATATTTATAGTTACATTCCTTTTAATGAACTATTGTTTTCTTTTTTGTATTTATAGAACATACATATTTTATTTCTTTTTAATGGTAACGTCGAAACGTCGTGTTATATGTAACTCCTATTCGTAATCATTCAGACCTCGTTCTAATTTTTTATATCTAAGTGGCTAAACCACAGTGTTGATTTTAAAGTGTTGGTTGTAAGCTGGTTACCAGTCCTTGCTTATTTCCTGTTAATGTTTTGCCACACTTTGCCGAGCAGTTACCCGGGGCGAAATAATGACTAGTTGAAATCCTGCACTAGCAGCTTTGTTTGGCCAGTCACTGTTGGTTCATTGTTGAACACTTCCCACCTGGTATACTGTTCTACGGTCGATAATGCACTGATTTAGTGTTAATAACTGAGTGTTCAAAAACCATCTGAAAAAACCGTGGCCGGATTAGCTCAGGATAACCGTGGCAGGATTAGCTCAGAGCGTTTGACTGCAGAGAGAGAGGTCGCGGGTTCGATTCACGGGGCCGGACCGTTACTCAGGGTCTTAAAATGACTGAGAAATGAAGGTACTTCCTTTGCACTGCAAGCGGCGAGACCTTCGCGTGGCTAAGATGACCACGTAAAATGGCGGTCCCGTCTCCATTAGGAGACGTAAAATATAGTGTCCCCAATTAGCACTTTCGTGCTAAATACATTGACACTCAAATAAAGCGCATTTTTTTGTAAGAAAAGAAAGGCGAAACAACAAACAGTATAAATACAGGGGCACCCAAAGACGGTTTCCTCCTAAATACACTGAAAACACTTTTAAGTCTATCCAAAGTACTTTTAGAGCTCTGGAAAAGCATTCTAGGCGGCGCTGTAAAATTTGTTTCTGTTCGCGGGTCACCCTAGGGGAACTTGAGTCTTTTGGAAATTACAAGGGCTTGAGTATAATTTTCCCTAAAATTTAAGGTGAAATCTGACGTATTACGAACGTGAGACATTTTCTAATTCCTCTCTCCATCACATTTTTGATTCCGAAAATTTTAGGTTTCTTTTTTCAGTCTACGAAAAATAAAAGTAGCCTTACTTGGGAAGTAAAGTGCGAAAATTAAACTTAAGAAAATTGTAGGTAATTTATTATATAAGCTTCGAAAATTGTACATGAATGGAATTGTCACCTAGCAATTTTTTGCTGTCCTCAAGTAATAGGAAATTCTAGGCAATATTTGCTTCTCCGAACAGATATTTTACAGAAAACAGTCTTTGGGTGCCCCTGATAAACATCGTGCCAAATTGTCGCCGGGCTTATCTGATCTTAAAGAAACAGCAGATCAGATGCAGGAAGCGTTCAAACAACGCAGACTGATCGCCGGGTCCTCTAGTTTTACCACAGGAGATTTTCCAAATTTACTTCACCCTTAGCTTATGATCAGTTTCAGTTGAATCAGTGTTAGTAGAGATCCATCCTACTAACTGTGGTTGAATTTTACTCAATATGATTACGCCGGCCTAGCAACTCTGGAAAGGTTAAGACAGAATCCATAAGGAAATTGAGTAATTTTAATTTTCAGTGGGCAAAAACCTTGTACCAGAATAATATAAAGCATAGTGCATTCTTTTTTACATTTTTTAAGGGCTGTAACGTAATTAATTATCTGTAATAATATTAAAATATGAGAGACCGAGAAAATAAATGTCAAACTTCACAAAAATGACATCTTACACATGAAATTTTCAGAATTTTACCTGTGTTTTCACAATTCTTATGAAATTTGACATTTATTTACTCGGGCTCTTTGTGTCTTTGGTGTTATTATACAGAAACTAATTATATCTATAGCCCTTTAAAAATGTAAAAAAGAACGCGATATTGTTTAAATTATTCTGGTACAAGGTTTTGTCCACTGAAAATCGGAATTACTCAATTTCCTGATGGATTCCGTCTTAAAACTTAGAAGAGAGAGTAGTGGAGTTGCGATCCAGGTCATGTGATTGGTTGCTAGGCATTTCAATATTTCTTACTAATTCTCTCTTGTTCTTACTTTTACTTTTTCAAAAGGCCTGCTTCGTCGAC